CAACCCGGCTGCCCTGCAACCTTACACAGGCCCCTCGGTGACTCTGAACCTCACCTCCCTCAAAGCGTAAAATGAAGAGCTTGGAAGTTGCTGCAGGTCCCCAAACGCACCTGTCTTTCCCAGCCTCCTCCAACCCCCTCACCACCACCCTCCCAGGAGCATTTCCAACCCTGGGCCTCACGCAGTCCTTTCTTCAGCCGAACTGTGGCTGATGGAACATGAACGAGGTATGAGACAAGCTCTTCTTAAACCTTGCGATGTGGTCATGAGAAACAGTTTATAGAATAAAAGTGGACTCCATGGCAAGGCAACATAAAATAAGGCTGAAGCTCTTTGCAACATGTAGTCTGAAGGGGCTAAAATAATATCTTTGATAATGGACCAAGTGTAAAATTGGTTTGTAAAAATTCAGTTTATTTTGTATTGGGCAAATAACATAGTCACATGGCTCAAATGAAAAGGACGCCCAGACGGTGTGGCTCAGTGGTTGAGTGTCACCCCATGCACCAAGAGGTCGCCGGTTCAATTCCCAGTCAGGGCGCATACCAGGTTGTGGGCCCGATCCCGTGGGGAGCATGCAGGAGGCGGCCAATCGAGGTTCTCTCTCATCGATGTTTCTCTCTCTCCCTCCCTTCCTCTCTCTCTCAAATCAATAAAGAAAAAAAAATTAAAAGGAAAAGGAAACCAGTTGTCTGTTCCCTGCATATCAAATTTGTCATCTAATTACAATAGTAACCAGGAAAGTGACTAAAATCACTGGCTAGGAACTTTAAAACCTAACATAGGGCTGATTAGAAAGAGTATTTCTCAGGCATTCTGGGGAAAATGCACAGGGTGGGGCAGTGAAGGCAGGCGGGCCCCCAGCGCTCACAGAGCTGCCAGGGCTTGAGTCACAGGTTCCGAGAAGGGAGAGGCTCCAGGACAATCAGGCGGCAGCTGTAGAGACACTTCCTTTCTGTGGTTTCACACTGTGTTGTCTCTCAATTTGAACTTGGGACATGCGGACATATGTGATCAATTAAAGAAAAAGCAGAAGTAACTGGAAGCTCGAGGCCACACCTGCTCCCTACCCCTGGGAACGGGCCATGCAGAAACCCTGGTGCCGCAGACGGCGACTCCTGCAGGGAAACACTGAGGGTGCGAGGGTGAAAGCTGGGCGTCCTCTGTAGGCGCACCTGCTCAGATGAACAGACACGGGGAGGGTGAAATGACAGGTGAACTGGGTCACAGAGCAAAGCCCTTCGAAGTTGAACCTTTGCCCTCCTGCGTGTATTTCCTTAACACCATTCCCAGCCTTTCCTGACAGGGATCTGCGTGCATCTCCTGACATGATGACCTTGAAAAGACAGAAGGGGGACAGTGAGCTATCCACCTCGCTTTTCCTCCCGGGTCCTTGGGAGGGGCTGCACCTTCTGGGGAGACCACCAAAGAGCAGGGTAACACAAGGAGAGAGACAGGTGATGGGGGCAACGCATTTTCAACCATGGCCCAATAGAGCTTGAGCTGCTTATAAGAACAGAAGCCTAGACCTTTTCCAGGCCAATTAGGTCAGACGGCTGAGGGACAGCCGGGAGTCGGTATTTTCTAATTAGTAGTAGGCTGTCCATGTGGCCCATGTAAAGGTCAAAAGAAAATCTCGGAAATAAAGGAGGAGGAGACTTAGTGGCACGCGAAACTGATGAGCCCTGGTCATGCTGAACCAGCGACTGAGCACTGAGCTGCAGGGTAAGGAGCCTGGCCAGCATTCTTCTGAGCCAACACCCAACACAGGATATGGTCGCTGTCCTCCAAAAGGTGGACACAACCCAATGTCCACCAACAGACAGATGACAAACATGAGGAGGTCCTTCCATACCCTGGAGTATTACTCAGCCGTGAAAAGGAACAAGGCTCAGACTCACACTACATAGATGGTGGGGAAGGAGCCCAGGGCAGGACTGCAGCACCCACTCCAGCTGAAACCCACAGAAAACCCTAAAAGACTAGGTAGACTAGAATGTAGCTTTTAGTTAAAATGACCCTTCTTAGCTGTACTGGAATGTAGTCGTGTCCTGGAGCCTAGAGGCCGGCCAGTAGAACAAGCCTCAGGGAAAATACAAAGGCACACGTGGCTTAACGTACCACTGTGACCTGTAAGCATGAGCCGTGTAGCTCTGCTTTTCCTGCTGTGATAACAGCACTTACCATTCCAAGATGTCCTGCAGAACTCTGTAAGGAGGAAGACCACCTGGCCAGTCACAAGACCCTGGACAGAATGACGCCCAGAGCTAAATAAGTCAGAGGGAGCTATTGAAGCTGGACAGGAACGGACCAATCAGCAGAGCCCAAGACCCTGAGCCCCTTACTTATGGATCTTAGCTTTCAGAACTCCCAAGAAAAGACATTTGGGAGTCTGGGTGTTTTAGACGATGAATTCCGTTTTCCTCGTGTGGCGCCTGTGACAAAGGGACTCGAGTTCCTCCACTGCAGTTCTCAGGGCTCAGGAAGGGCTCCACTGAGGGCTGGGCAGACAGAGGTGACAGCCCCCCAACCTCAACCGCAGACACCAGCGTTTCCCTCCGTTCTTCAGAGCAGCCTTCGTCTCATGATTTGTAAGCGCTCTGGTTATAAAGCACATTGAAAGACTGTATTTTTACTCAATTATCTTTCAGAAGAGTGATTTTCTTTTTTTTAACCAACCTTTTATCAAATAAGGCTAATCCTCTTTCTTTTTTCTCTTTATTGATTTTAGAGAGAGGAAGGGAAAGGAGAAACATCTGTGAGCAAGAACACAGACTGGCCGCCTCCTGCATGCCCTCCACTAGGGATCAGGCCCACAACCTGGGCATGTGCCCTGACTGGGAATCAAACCAGCCACCTCTCGGTGCAGGGTCAATGCTCAACCACTGAGCCACACCAGCCGGGCAGAGGAAGAGTGGTTTTCAAAACCCATAGTCTGAAGTGGGCAGATGAGGGTCCAATTAGGATGGAAAAAGAGAAGTAACACCAGCGATTGAATGCAGTATTTCTGAAAATGGAAGAGCTCACAAAGAGCAAATATAAACAGTCCTACATTTACTTTTCGGATCATCTGGTCCCACACTGGGACTTTCAAAGACAAAGAACCAACCACAGTGAGCTCATGTAGAAGTTTTATTGGATGAATACATGCAGTGTCGTGTAACCTTAGCTGAACACAAGGGCCTTCCCTGTAACACCCTCTGCAGTCTCCCATTCGCTGTGGTGAGCCGCTGGAAGTGGACTCAGGGTGACAGCCGCAGTTTGAACGCAGACACTGATCTACACTTGGCTGAGGTTCTTGGAAAAGCAGGGCCAAGCTCCGGAGGAAGAGTATTTGGAGGAGGAGTTCTCGCAGTGCCGAATGTCGATTCTACAAGGCTTCTGTTTTCATCTGAAGCTTGCAAACAACCTTTACACCCGTATTTTAAGGCAGAGGACAAGCAACCCACATATACAGACTGTCAGAATTCAACTTCAGTTATTAAGCGAACTTCTCCCCTCTGGTTTGGCTCACTGTAGAAAAGCTCAAGTTTCCCTTTCCTAGATGAGTTGATTGTAAAGAACTAGAAATGAAAATTTTGGGGACTCTGTGTCCTCCACTGCCAGGACCCTGGGGGGCTAAGCCTGGCCTCAAGGGTGATTCTTATGCTTTCCCACAGAATGAGAGCTTCCCTCTGAATACAAGGTCGCCGCAAGCAGTCAGAATCGCACCTGGGAGGTGCTGCAGTGTCCCTGGAACCTGCAGGTGGGTTGCTGCATCATGAGGGCATCGTGCGGCCAACGGGCTCTGCACAGCCTTTTGGCTTTCCATTGTAGTTACTTTGCCTAATTGCTTAAACAAAGTGTTTCATCAAGTAAAACAAACATCGAATAGGTAAAGCACATGGCTGCAAAAGCCGAAAGTTTAGGACGTTGGTGGAAATGACTGGCGTGCTAAATTTCAGCAAGTGCGTCTTCTCTGTTGTAGATGATGCCAGAAGCCCCTCAACGGACTTCATTTAAAAATATACTGAATTAATCTAATATCGCGGGCAGGCAACTAGATTTAGTTGCAATCCTGTCTTTCTCACGCTACTAAGATGCCACAGTTGTGTCCTGCGACCCTCCTTACCTGTGCACGTGTTCACCATCAGAGTCCTGCACTTCCAGCAGTCAGGGGACAGCAGACCAGGCCAGCAGGATGCCGGGACGTGGCGGGAGGCTGCCGGCTGCATCCTGGAGAATGCCCTGGTCAGCGTGCGGTCTGCATGGGCGTGACCGTCAGCCTCTACCACAGGCACTTCGGTGTTGGGGCACGAGGGCCATCCAGAGCCCGTAGAACTTCACGGTGAGGTCCCCCATTTCAACCACAAAGCGCTATCCTCGACATCTTCATGCTTAGTTCTCAAAGGCTCTCGTGGCTGAGGAAGCCCCGCCTGCGCCAGCACACGGCGTTCACTCGGCCCGTCCGCATCCTTCGTGGGCAGCACAGCTCAGGACACTCTTTGGGCTATAAAACATGCTTCCAATATTCCAAGAAGAAAAATACCTTCCAAAAACAACTGTGCAATATTGAGGTCGGTCATGGCATGAAGTAAGGAGACCCAGGAAAGGTGGTTCGCACCCAGACGCCGCTGTGCAGATGCCCTGGGCGTGGTGGCCTCTGCGTACAGCAGAATGGTGCCAGGGCCAGCTCCGGCCATCTGTCCTGTCCATGGCCCGCTGACGAGGGGCTGAGTCAGCAATCGATTTTCACCACAACTCCCGACCTCCTTTCCCCGTGCACCCCACGACCTCTGTGGTGACCACACGCGCTCGTCTCTCACACTTGATCTCAGCCAAAAAGCCGAGAAGCGACCGCGCTTGTCTTTCCTCACAGGCTGGAAAACACGCAAAATCAACAGAGCTCAGGTCAGCTGCTCCGCAACAGCCTGACTGCTGATGCTGAAACGTGTGTTACATTTTAGAAAAAGTGTCACTGTGTGTCTGCACTATTTCATGAATAAGTTATAACAAGCAACTCAAAAGAACTGACATTTTCATTTTATGTAAGACATTTCAAATTAGTACAATGTGACTTATGAACCATGATAATTCTCTTAATGTTCTATGAACTTAGCTATATAACCTTTTTCCTTATAAGCACTTCAGTCAACTTCTCAATAATACATCTTTATAGTTATAAAAGTGTTAATATTTTGAATACTTCTTTCATTGATAATGGGCAGAGATATACTAATATTTAATAATCTTTCACCTTTTCTTTTTAAAAAGAAACAGCGTAAAATATCACTGAGAACTTTTTCCTGCAAAGACAAAAATGATTACTTGTCATAAGAATTTAATAAGTTTTAGAAGAAAAATATATATATTTCCTTAAACCATTTTCTTCTGAATTCCAACCGGCATGTAGAGATTATAAAAAATAGAGTCTATTTACATGGCACGGTGTGCCTCAGTGATATTCAAAATAAGGCAACAACAAGCACAGACACATACCTGCCTCCCGACAGCGCGGCACAGCAGTGCCTCTGCCCTGCTGTGCACGGTCCTGACGGTGCACACAGAGGCAGTCAAACACACAACACTCACAATAACATCGGCCAAATACGCCTAAAATGTCCACGTTTTATAAAACCATTAAGGTATGTCTAGGGAAGAACATGGAGTATAAAAATAGCCTTGGTACAGGGGGCAGGGCGTCTTGTGAGCTCGCGGAGCAGGGTAGACACAGGAGCCCTCAGGCCAGCTCGTCCTATGTCACCACGTGTGGTCTCGTCCCATCTTCTGTGAGGTCGTACCTGAGCACAGGAAGGGGATGGCAGGGTCAGTGTGGACAGTGGCAGTAAATGAACACGTGGGTCTGTCATCTGCGGAGGACACTCACCACTGGGTCCAGCCTTTGGCGAGTTCTTCAGATGCCAGAGCAACCAGCACCTGCGGGTGGAGAGTGTGTGAGGGTGAGGCCTCCCTGGCCCTCACCTCTGCTCTCTGCTCTCCCCTGTCTCGGTCTGCACTGTGGCCTCTCCTTTACTGTGAGTCTCCCACTTGTCAACGTGTTCTACCCTGGGACCCGCTGAGGAGCGACATGGCTGGTCCACCAGTCTGAAAGCCGGGCTACTATGAACCCTCGTGGGGATGGCCTGTAGGGACAGTGACTTGGGCTGATGGCAGCAGGTGTGTGGAGGCAGGTCCACAGAGGCACCCACAATCCAGACCCCCTCTTCCCTGACTTAACTTTTGTAGACGCTGCTAAGAACGCGCATCCTTATGCAAAAGCTAAATGTGGACACAGACAAAGACTAAAAGAAATTCAGAGAAATGAAGCCAATGGCTTGTTAGGAAAAAAAAAAAAAGTTGGTTAGTTGAGAAAGAATTATAAGAGAATATGTTCCCTTTGGGTTTTCTTTCATTGTGACACTCAAATAAATATTTTATTTAAAAATAACCTTTTCTTCAACTATAAGTTCATGGACTCATGGTATTAGTAGGACTAATATGCCAATAACACAAATATGGAAAAACAATGAAATGACTTAAACCGTCTTCACAGTGTGTGGGTGCTGTGGCTGATACAGTCCATGAACCACAGAGTGAGTCCTCCCCTTTCTATGCTGTGGAAATGGTCTACAGCACAAACTTGGGGCACTTGTGGTAGGTAGGTGCTGAATTTCTTTTTTTAATGTTTTTTCTTTTCCCTTTATTGATTTGAGAGAGAGAGGAAGTGAAAGGAAGAGATAAAAACATCGATGAGAGAGAACATCGACTGGTCGCCTCCTGCATGCCCCCCACTGGGGATCAGGCCCACAACCTATGCATGTGTCCTGACCAGGAATTGAACCGGCGACCACTTGGTGCAGGGTCGACGCTCAACCACTGAGCCACACCAGCTGGACTCTTAATGTTTCGGACTCTTAAAGTTTTTTTATTGATTTTTTAGAGAGAGAGAGAGAGAGAGAGAGAAACATTGATTCTGCCTTCTGCACACCCCCATTGGGGATCAAGCCCACAACCTGGCATGTAACCTGATCGGGAATCGAACTGGGACCTATCAGTCCACGGACACGCTCCATCCACTGAGCCACACCGGCCGGGCATTTATTAGGATCCTTTCACACTTACTTTTCCAAGAAGCCCTTTGTCTTTGGACAGGAAGCCACCACTGTTCTTCACGGCGACGTCCAGCGTTCTCCTCTGCACTTCTGGTAACGAGACGCTGAAATCAAAGCTGAGAGAGGGGACCTTCCCTAAATTTCTCCATCATCTTGCTGTAGTTTATCATAACTAAACGTGACATTTCTGCCTATGAGACCACTCCAAATGTTATGTTTGCTACTGTAAATGGGGTTCCTGTGCTAGATGTTTGGGGCTGGCATTTCATAAAGATGCAAACTCAAAGTATTTTGCAGTGTTTTCAAAAGTAAGAGAAGACTCTGGCGTGTGCCACCGCCCACGTATGGGGTGGGGCAGCTAGAATGTGGGATTGTGGATGTTACACATGACTCAACAGGCAAGTCCAGACTGGCTCCCTCACCCTGAAGGCTAAAGCAGAGCAATGTCACCGCCTGGGTGAGGGAGCTGGTAAGAAGTGTCCTGTGATCTGGCATTACGAAGGAACACCGTCTGCACCGCACTTTTTAGTGGCTAAAGCCAGATGCCACAAACTAAATGCCTTCGGGGAAGCAAGTCCTCGAAGCTGGCTGGTGTGTGGTTCCCATGAGACACGGCCTCTGCAAACCAGAGGACAGAGGGCCTGCGGCCTGGGAAGGACGAGGCTGGGAGGTGGCCAGCCCTCTGATGGAGCTGGGGCACCTGAGATCGGCACGTGGGGCCCAAACCCTTCAGTGCTGCACTGAGCAAGAACACTAACGCCAAGACTTGGTGGACACAGCTAGGACCATTAAAGACAAAGTATAAGCTGAGTTAGTGCATACTGATATCATGCAACTTTTATTTCCCAAAATGCTGGTGGCTTTTGAACTACAGAGGACTGCAAGTGAGACATCGCATCTACACACACTGAGGCTCAGATGTGTGGCCTGAGCACCTCTCAGGAGGCTGTCACCTCCGACCGACTGCAGAAGCAGTTGGAGCCTCTATTAAGCCAGACCATTACAGAGACTTGCAAAAATCTAAAACAATGACCACATTCTTTTCACTAAGTTTTAAAATTGTTTTGGAAACCAGCTGTGTTCATAAGAATGTCGTATTTTCAGATGTTATAGGTTTATTATTTTAAAAAAATATATGTATTTTAACATTCTCAGTTTTGATTTATAACCCAGTTCTTCAGGGTCATCAAGCATTTGGTCTTTATCTAGTCACACTGGTCTCACCGTCCATGTTTACATGTCACCTCTGTGTGAAATCCAAAGTGCTCACTTATCTTACAGGCTCACTGCCATTTGGAGGTTTTCACCTGACGTCTCCGTACTGTGCTGGCTTCAATGCTTTAGCCACTGGCCGGCACTGGCCGGCTCCTGACGTGACCCAGCAGTCTGGCCCAGCTGAGCCAAGTCCATACCTCTGATCAAACACGGGGTTCAGTGTTTTCTTCGACACGTGTGTTTTTCTCCTTCCTGACCTCCTCTTGTCTGGTAACAGATACATGCGGACGTAGGGGTCGGAGCCGTCCTCAGAGAAGGCAATGAGATTTCTTCAACACAAAGCAGAGAACAGCAGTTATGAGAATCTAAAAAATGGCACTCAGCATCACATTCAAATTTACCACAGGAGGTCCTCGAGAAATGTCGTTTTGGTATACTGTTCATGAGAAAAAAAAGGTCGAAGTTAGCATGTTCTCCCGTGTCTTACAGCTTTTCGCAGGGGTCTCGGTTCCCCTCACATCCCAGACGGGCACGCGAGAACGGCGGCTAAACTGTCCGAGTGACTGCGGGTGCAGGCCCGAGTGGCCCCAGAGGGAAGGATGTCCCGTCCAGGGCTGTTCCCACCTTGTGCCCTGAGCTGCCAGGAGGACATCTGGTCACTTGTGATCTGAAACCGGAATCACCGGGTTGGAAAATTAACAATCACACTTGTTTTTATTCATCTTTCTTAAATGTATGGAGAGCTCACATTTATCCCAATGTTCTTTATTAGAAGTGTTTTGGGTCTTTGTTTAGAAGTCTGGTGGTGTCTTTAAGTCCAGCAATGTGCCCTAGAAACTCACCTGTTGTTTAAGTCAACTATATGTGACCACTTACTGGCCGAACCGAGACCCGTCAGAGACTGTTTGGCTGGAGCCCCTGAGCAGCTTCCACTCCTGTGTCTCCCACAAGACGGTTCAGCACCAGGAACACAGGTGCTCAGCGCACTGCACTGCCCTCTGCCCTCATGGCTCCGTCTCTAACGTCACTGCACTGCCCTCTGCCCTCATGGCTCCGTCTCTAACGTCACTGCACTGCCCTCTGCCCTCATGGCTCCGTCTCTAATGTCACTGCACTGCCCTCTGCCCTCATGGCTCCGTCTCTAACGTCACTGCACTGCCCCCTGCCCTCATGGCTCCGTCTCTAACGTCACTGCACTGCCCTCTGCCCTCATGGCTCCGTCTCTAACGTCACTGCACTGCCCTCTGCCCTCATGGCTCCGTCTCTAACGTCACTGCACTGCCCTCTGCCCTCATGGCTCCGTCTCTAACGTCACTGCACTGCCCTCTGCCCTCATGGCTCCGTCTCTAACGTCACTGCACTGCCCTCTGCCCTCATGGCTCCGTCTCTAACGTCACTGCACTGCCCTCTGCCCTCATGGCTCCGTCTCTAACGTCACTGCACTGCCCCCTGCCCTCATGGCTCTGTCTCTAACGTCACTCATTTTACTTTCTGTCACCAACAGCTTTCAAGAGCCAAGTACCTATATGAATGCACACATCACAACTGCTGCGGAGACAGACAGTCACGTAAAGAAAGGCAGCTCCACAGACCGTCACTGTTCATCACGCCCATGGAAGCACACTGCCACCTCACGCACACTCGCTGGATCAAGACAGATGCCAGGACTGACCCTCCCTCCCTGACGACGGGGACAGGCAAGCCCGGCCCCTCGGTGCTGACGTCAACTGAACACTTGCTTCGTTAAAGACTACAGCAAGCCTATCGTGACTCATCAACTTCTGGATCCTCTCAATTTATATAAATTTACTCCTAGAAAGGTAATCGCCCAAACACTTCATTCAATAAAAGGAAGCATGTCCACTGTCGAGTTACATTAACAGCCTCTGGAAATCCCCAGCAGGAACTGGTACCTGAACCACAGTTCAGGGGAGTGTGGCGGAGCACCAGATGGTTACAGGTGCTTAGAAACAACGCTGAGAACGAAGGAGGGGCACAGACCGAAGACGAGCACTGCAGTGGATCCAACTGCTTGGCTCTGTAAAGACGAAACCGAGGGACCCGCCTGCAGAGGCAGAGCCGCGGGGAGCCCTCACCTGCAGGCGTGCACGACCACCACCAGCTTGTTCCTCTGCGAGCTGTGCCGGATCGTCAGCTGGATCTGCCCCAGGGGCGACTGTCCCAGCGTCGTCCCACTGAGGAAACAAGCAGAAAGTCAGTCTCCCAGGCCTTTCGCAGGCCCGTCACCGGAAGGTCGCCCCCTTCATGTGGACAAGGAGTCCAATGGCCCAGGAACTAGGACACAGCCAGACCTCTGAGCACAAACCGCCAGCCCAATACCCATTTCAGTGGAAGGTTCATGTAACTTCATTTTTCAAAACTGACAGTTTTGTCATTTGGGGCCCAAAGTAAAAGGAGACACAGCGGTCTCCTAGTTAGAAACCTCAACCCTGTGAGACTTTGGGCCTGTAATTGCCTGAATCTACGTACCCTTTCTCAAACCCCACACCAGCCCTGGCTATGATGTTCACCAACAGGGCCTGTGATAACATCGCGACACCCCCCACGATTTCTGTGTCTCTAAGTCAAAAACTCTAAGACAACCAACAACTGCCAGGCTCAGTCTCCCCAAGACCCTCTCGGCTGCTCCCCAAAGTTTTCTCCTGAGAAAAAGTGGTTTCTTGTTTAAAATTCTATTTCCTTAAGAGCAAGAAGGGAGGGGAGAGCTGATTTCTTTTTTCCAAAATGGTGGACGTGAGAGGGTGCAGAGGAGACTGCCCGGAGTGTGGTGACGAGAGGACCACTCATGTGCCTGCGTCCCGGCGCCAGGAACACACGTTTCGGCTCTGCCCCACGGCACTGCTCACAGCTCTTAGAGCCCAGAGGAAGGACTGTCTCAAAAGCAACTCTTTTCCTTCCACTGAGAGGAAAAGTTACCATCTGAAGCTGGTAGAGCCTGAAGACTGCTTTTTCCTCCTTATCTAGGAATCACTGGGCTTAAGAAATCAACAAAAACATCCAGAGACAGACAAAAAGCGACTGGGGACCCGCAGTGGGGTGCTGAACAAACAAGAGGAACAGGCCCCAGTCCTGCACAGCAGACTCCAGGCCCCACAGGCGGGTGCGGCAGCTCGGCCAAGGACTCGGCCTTCACGGGCTGAGGGCAGGCACACGGAAGCACCGGAGCCTCTGCTGCGCGTGTGACCTGTTACCCACCGTGTTCTAACCCTCAAAGAGCGAATGTCAGGCCCTAGAAAACGGCAGGCTTCACTGTGACAGGGAGCCTCCCCAGGTCCCTTCACTACCACAGACTGCACCCCCAGTACGTGGGGAGCGCGCTGTTCGGCAAGAGCAAAAACACGTCTAGTTACTTCTCCAGCTGCCGCAGCCTCTGCCGAAGCTCCTGCGTGGCGATGGGCAGCGATATGTCCGAGGCTATGCTGGGGGTGGGCTCCTTGACGAAGATGTGGCTGGGGGAGTAGGTGGCACCGGTCTGGAGGCTGGAGGAGCTTCTGCCCAGATCTCGAGGCCCCTGAGGACTGGCCTCTCCGGGCTGGGCTCTCTCTTCCACACCAGGCTTCGCACCGCCCCCAGTGACTGGGGTGGATGGGGCTGGGCTGCTGTCACCAGCGCCTGGAGAAGCGGACATCTGAGACTTCACAGACACTTTTCTCCCTCCTTTGGAAACGGAGGGTCGCTTTACTTGTGCTGAGTGTTGGTGGTCTGGAGATCTTTCCTGCTTTTCGAGGTGAAGTACCTAGAGGTGGAAACAAACACAAAGTTGGAAGCGATGGCACTGGGAATAGTCTGGTGCATGAAGCTTTAATCTACACACTTGCAAATGTTTCTCTAAAGCTTGGCTTCAAACATTATAAACCATCAGGTCTATCTGTTCATCTGTTCTATTATTTAAGTAATACAATGTTACAGAAAGTTTTAGATAAGGAAAGTTTAAATAGAAAGTACTAGGTAAGGAAAGTTTAAGTAACCAAAGAATCACTACTATGATGTAGATGTCACTTCCGTGTATTCTCTTCAGCCTCTTCCATTTCCATGGATTTCAGTGCAGTTGTGGGAACTGTTACTCCCAGAAGAACCTGAGCTGCTGCCCTGCACAAGCCTAGTCGCTCCTCCCACCCAGGTGGACTAGTCCCTCATCCTTCACAGGTGGTCTAGTTCCTCATCCTTCACAGGTGGTCTGGTCCCTCATCCTTCACAGGTGGTCTGGTCCTTCCTCCCACCCTTGTCCTGAGCCCTGTGGCTGCCCCATGACCACCACCCACTGTGTCCCTGCCGTCTACCACTGTGGAGCAGCCTGCGACCTTTGCTACTGCAGCTGCGCCTGTCCACCCTGTGCGTCCCGTGGGAGACTACAGTACCCGCAGGGCGATCTTCATCTTCAGAGTGCTGTTTGGACCTGAATTACTGAGTTGGAATCGTTGGTTCACAGTCATGTCATCACTACTGAGCAGCCGACTGAGAGGGATCTTCAGACTTCCCAGGGAACACTGATGCTGTTCATCTTTGACCTGCAAGACACACCACAGAACACACTGAGCTCCAAGGATAAAGACAGAAAATGCTGAAAGGTCCAAATCCAGTCCTTAAAAAGCATACTTCCGCCATCTCTTTCTAGGCAGTATTCCCTTAAATGATTAACACAGAAGGAAGCCTCCTTGGAAAAACACAGAACATCATAAGGAGTGAAGCTACAGTGGACCCATGTCACGTGTAGCTGTCATTTCCTTGTTACACTGTTATGAGCACAGAAAGAACACCATGGCTATGAATCCATTAGGAGAGCCCTGAGTTAAGAGGCAACAGTCTATACAAACCTGAAGAATAGAAAGAAACATCTTAACCCACAGAAAATGATGATAATGCTCATTCCTAGTGACATGACAGTTTCTACTGGTGATACTTGTTCATGGAGAAAAAAATTTTTAAGTGTCGTTTAAGCCTTCTCTATTCAAAATCTACATGGTTATTTAAAAACTTTACAGTGGCATGACAATTCCTGTCTCCTGAACAATATCCTGCGGCATTACTTATGTAATCGGCATCGTTCTTGTTGGATTGTTGTAACACAAAATAGTTTATAACCAGAGTTAGACCAGTCGTACGAAAATGGCCAAAGATACCTACACATGAAATCCTAAGAGCCTGACTGCTAATTTCTTTATAAACTGCAATCCAAAAGCATTGTTATTTTCATTTCTTAAAATGACTTTATTGACTTTTTTTTAGAAAGAGAGGGAAGGAAAGGGAGAGAGAGAAACACTAACCATTTGCCTCCCCAACACATACCCCGACCAAGGATTGAACCCAAAACCTGGGTCTGTTCCCTGACCAGAAATTGAACTGGCAATCTTCCAGTGCATGGGACGACACTCAACCAACTGAGCAATGCTGGCCAAAGCTAAAAGCATTTTTAAAAGAAATAACTGCAACAATGTTTACTGAACTTTGAAAGCTGCTTTTTAAAATTCAAGATCCAGTAAGTATAGATTATTTTAAAAATAGTGCAACTTATGAAAGAAAAATTAATTAAACAAATACAAAAATTTAGCGAGACAGATACATTTTGTATAAAAAAGAATGTGAAAATATAAAACAAGCAGAGAACGATGGACCGGCTGCCATGACCGACATTGGCCCAGTGCTCTGAGCAGACCTGAGCCCTCCACAGCAGGACCTCCCCTCAGGACCTCAAGGGCTGAGCAACCAAGTCAGAGCTGTACAGCTAAAGAGCAGAGGCCCTTTAACTTCTCAGACTGACAGGAGGCGATGCAGAAAACAAATACGGGTACTAGAATATTTAGACTGGCATGTGTCATATGCCCGCCCCTGGGATGACCGTGAAAACTGTGCGATCCACTTGGAACAGCCCCATCCTTGAGCTAAGATGACATGAGAGGAGGACAGAACACACAGCCCCTGGGACTGTAGGCGTACATCCAAGAAGCGCCTCCAACTCCTTCTGAGGATGTAATTCACATGTAGTGTACATGTCAAAACATGCAAACACAGGATTTTTGCTTTTGGCCATGATGAAGTATTAGGAACAGAATTTAACATCTCACCTTCACTTAAAAACAAGTGAGGTGAGCCCAGCCAGTGTGGCTCAGTGGATGAGCATTGACCCTGCACCAAGAGGTCGCTGGTTCAATTCCTGGTCAGGGCACATGCCCAGGTTGTAGGCCTGATCCCCAGTGGGGGGCATGCAGGAGGGAGCTAATCAATGTTCTCTCTCACCGATGTTTCTATCTCTCTCTCCCTCTCCCTTCTTCTCTCTCTAAAAATCAATAAAGAAACAAAAAATTTAAAAAACAAAAAACAAAAAAAAACCCAGAAACAAGTGAGGTGAGCCTGACAACTGATCTGGTCACTGCCTTGAGTATCCAGGCCATGGTGCTGGGATGAGGACCCCAGACAGAGGCTAGGGGTCCCCCTGCATTGATGACACAGGGTAAAGAAATCAAGGAGCAGAAAGTGACAGAGAAGAGGGAGCTCCACAGAGAGCTGGAAGCCCCGAGGACCCGTCTTCAGTTGATCAGCACATGCGAGGGAATGAACCACACAAGGACCCATGCCCAGGAGGAGCAGGGAGACAATTACCAGAGCACAAAGGGCTACAGGAAATCTGGTAACATGTGGGGCATCTGACGAGGGCCACATGGTCCTAAGACCAGAGGCTATCGGGCTGCTTAACAAAGCTTAAATCAAGCAGCGAAAGGCTCAAACTTACCTGGGTAAGTTGCCCAGGTAACTTACCTCTAAATGAGAACAAAGCTCCAAAATACTTAAAGAAATACAAACCCAGCACTCAATACTGTAAAATTCACAATGGAAAATTACCAGGCAACCAAAGAAGTAGAAATATATAATCCACAATGAAGGTAAAAATCACTGGTAGAAGCAGATCCAGCAACTATACAAACAACAGAATTGGTAACAGCATAAGCAGCTATCATGCACAGACTGCATACACACAGGAAGGCAAAGAAAAGACATGGAAGACAAAAGATCCAAACTCAAATTCTAAGATGAAAAAAGAGAACATCCAAGATACAAATACACAGGCTGGGATCAATAGCAGATTAGACACTTGAGGCGGGAAAAAATGGAGGAAGTAATGGTCATAACAGCAGACTTCTCATCAGAAACAATGCAAGAGGGAAGAAAGTGAAAGAAAAAAAACCAGTTAGCCAAAATTTTATATCTTGTGAAAATATCTTTCAAACATGAAGGTGAAACAGACTTTTCAGACACACGTGGGTTGGAAGAATTCATCGCCAGCAGATGAGCCCTGCAGGAATGTTCAAGGAGGCCTTTGGGCAGAAGGAAATTTGCTTCTGCTAGAAATGGAGTGAAGAATACCAGAGTGGTAAGTATGCAGTTAAATAGGAAAAACTACTTTCCCTATTTTTTAAAAAGCTCTTTAAAATATAATTGACTGTTTAGAGCAAAAATAATAAAATATATTGTGGGAGAGAGGAAACAGAAACATGCCACAGAAGGTTCTTGTACCTCTGGTGACCACATAGGGGGAGATCAGTGTGCGTAACAGAGGATACCATAAACCCTAGTGCAACAGTCAACATAAAACAAGGAGCTATAGTTAACAAGCCAGAAGAGAAATTAAAATGCAATTATACAAAATGCTCAATCCAAAAGAAGTCACATTAAAAAAGAGACGGAGAGAGAGAGAGAGAGAAAGAACAAAGAAAAAATGGGGCAAATAGCACAGTGGCAGATTTAAACCCAACCACATCAACAATCACACTAAATACAAATGGCCTAAATGCCCAAATTAAAAGAAAGATTGGATAAAAACACAAGATTCAACTGTATATTGTCTAGAAGAAGTCAACTTTAAATATAAACTTACAAATAGGTTAAAAAAAAGGATGAAAAAAAATTAAACCACGCTAACTTCAATAAAAAGAAAGATATGACAATTATATTAATATCAGTCAATTACAGAATAAAGAATATCATTTAAATGTAATTGTAAAAGGAATTTTTACAATGATAAAGGAATTGACTAATCAGGTGGGCAAGCATTACAATTCTATACAGACTCTTGGAAAAATGAAGAGAAGAGAAAAATTCCCCTCATTCTACAAGGCTAACGTCACCCTGATAAACAAGTTGTAGAAAAATTGTGGGTCAGTGTCCTTTGGGAATCAGATATAAACATTCAACAAAATTTTGGCAAATTAAATTGAATACATAAGAAGGATACATCATGACCAAGTGTGCTTATCCCCTAATGAAGATTTGCTTGTGAGGTTCTCTAATGTCAAATCTTGAAAACCACATACAGGTTTGTAATGTTCAACACCTAAAAATCAAAAATGTGTTCCACTATATTTACAAACTCAGGAAAACCAGATGATCGTCTCAACAGTTGCAGAAAAGCCTGTGATAAAATCCCACATCCACTGATGACAAAACTCTCAGCAAACTAGTAGCAGGAGAAGGAGAAAATGTCCTCAAACTTCAGGCTGAAGGGCGATGCCCTAAGGCTCCCCTCCAAGACCCGAGGAAGCAAGGTTTACTCCACGTGGAGGCCCGAAGCTGGGCAGGGTGCACGGCGAGATGAGGAAGTCAGGCACCAGGTTGCAAACACGGAAGCAGCAGTGCTTTATGATTAGCAGACAACACGACTGCCTGTGTGGAAGACAATCCTGAAATAGCCTAAAAAATGCTACCAGAACCAATAAGTAAGTTCAGCAGGGTTGACAATATGATGCCAACATACAAAATCAACTCCATTTCTAGATATCAGTAACATTCAATCAAAAGTTTAAAATTAAAAAACAAAACAAAACACATTTACTGTATCATAGAGTCTGAAACGTCTAGGGATAAGATTGACAAAAGTACTGATTATGGTGATAGGTCTGTGAGAAGTCTGTTCAAATACGTGCAGCTCGTTCGTTGTACGTTGATTATATTTCATAAATATATTAAGAATGCAAATAAAATACCTCGACTTCAAGGTCCTGTTGCTTGGGATTGTGAATGAAGAAAGTGAAGTTTTCCTCCCACACAGGTTCATTGGTTTTGTACCGAATCTGAAAGAAATACCCGAAAATCAGCCCCGTGGATACTTACTTTCTGTGTTTATTCATTCACGGGTTTGGAAGCTTAGGGTGACTTTCATTAAATTCCAAGACATACTTTTACTGAGCATGTACCATTATGTACTAATTGTGGAAAGTGTACAAAAGACAGGGTCCAAAGCTTCTGGAGTGTGCCAGGGAGCTGTTACAGAATCCCAGCCTGCGTGCCCATCCCGGGGACTGAGGTTTCATCTGCTCAGCGTGGCCTTCCTCGGTACCTCCCCATGACCCACACAGGGCTGCATTCAGGAGGCTTCTCACACTAACTGTGAGAAAGTGAACAAAGGCCTGTGACTTTTTTTCCTTTATTGATTTCAGAGACAGAGGAAGGGAGAGGGAGAGAAAGAAACTTTGATGAGAGAGAACATCGACTGGCCATCTCCTGCATGACCCTGCTGGGGATCGGGCCCACAACCTGGGCATCTGCCCTGACCAGGAATCGAACTGGTGTCCTCTTGGTGCATGGGTCGACACTCAGCCACTGAGCCAGTCACACTGGCCGGACAAGGTCTGTAACTTTAAACAATTCCTGAAATCCTTGCTCTCAAATCAGGAAAGGAGAATGAATACACTGTAGCAATGGCAATGTTCTCTCTCAATTCCTGACAAAACTGCATTTGTTGAATTTTAAGCATCATTGGTTATCTTTTAAACAAAATATTTACAGAGCAGTCAAAGAAAACTTCCATCTACCCATGAAATCAAGCAAAAGCACATTCATGTTATTGTTCAATGTTATTTTAAGAAAGCTGTGGAAATCAGTGGTCTCGAGGCTACACCATTCCCTGACTGACAGGCCCTACCTGACTGGCGAGAGTAACAGTGTTGCCATCGGAAACTGGCATGTGGCCTTACCTTGCTCTCCTGGGCCTTGTGCCCAACTGACATCCGCACAAGAGGGTTGGGGTTGCTGTTTATTTTCTTCCCGGACTACCCAAAAACAAAAAACAGACAAAATAAACAAACATCCTGAGATGGGCTTGTTAAAAATGAAATTGTTGACTATATTAAAAGTCATTTCTATTTACTTCTGAGACTGCAGTTACAGGGACTATCTGGGAACAATTTAATTGGGGAAGGACTGCTAAGCACACCCCAAACCATAATTGTAGCTACCAAGAAAGACACTTGGAAAACTTCTATTTACACAATTTTTAAATGTTGAGTTCTTTTATTTTTAGAGCAAGCTACTTTGGAAAAAAGAAATCTTCTGAATATCTTTAATGTTAATTCCAGCTCTAAAAACATATTTTACCAGGGTAACAAAATAAATAAAGTGCAATGAATGAACAGAAAGACATGAGCAAGGACAAATAAAGAGTATATGATTCAGAACAGCCCTCTGGTTGGAATAATAAAAATACTACAAAGAGTCAGAAATGTTTTTACATTTTTAACTTAGTATCTTCTGTTCAAACATGTAGCTATCAGATATCAAATCTTGCTGGCCAGCGGCTAAGTAATTTTGACTGGAAGAATGAACATTAGTCTAGAATTGCATTACATTAAGCAGACAGATATAATTTTTAAAATGGTAAGAAGCATACTTTAGCACAGAGAGCTGATAGAAGAAAACAGTAAAACACAACATATTGAGACATGAGGTTTATTTATAACTTAGCCCCACAGAAGATGCAATTAAGTATGTCTGTTAGTGGAAATTAATTAGATCACAAAAATGTTTTTTAGTTAAACAATTTTAAAGTCAATCCATACTTCAGCAATGACAAAAATAAGCATCAAATTCATGATTATTGGAATAAAATATTACTAGCCCAAACCTACTGCGATAATCTATTTTCTGGTTCATCTTTTTGATGTGAATGAATTCTGCAAAATGAAATAAATACTGTTAAAAAATTCAAAGGCTACAGACTACTGTGGCAGAAAATACTACTTCCCCCCTAAGTCCACTTTCTCCTTCTTCCCTGACCATTAGAACCCTGGAGTGTTAGCTGAGCCAAGTCCTCTGTAAATAAAGTTTCTATTTCTGACCCTTCCTTGTAGTTGGGTGTGGCCAGGTGACAGTTTGGCCTTAAAAGGAGAGGTGTTCATCCTGCTCCTTCCTGGTGACCCCTTTTGGAGGAAGGCAGTGAGCAGAGCAGGGCAGAGCCCTGAGCCACAATCTGTGCCACTCGAGGGGGTTAACTTCTGTCTGGCTGGAGCTACAACTACTTCTGAATCTGATTCAGAAGCTGAGTGTGTATTTTAACTAATATACTTCTCATGTCTGAAAAAGTAGCCGTTCATTCCTAGAAACTTACTATATTTGTCAACTTTAAGACACGATTTTTTTGTTAAGCTTGAACTCTGAAAACAAAGAGACTCAGTTGCTGACCTGCCGCGTCTGCTCCCGAGAAGGTGCAGCAGTGAGATGAGCTCTGCTCCTTCTCCCACCACTGTGCTCACACTGACTTCTGTGTGCACGTGAGACACAGTGAACCTGCCGTCCTAAGTCTGAAATCCTTCCAGAAAGTATGGAATAAACACTATCACCCTGACACATTTTCTTTCTTCGTGGTACATAAAATAATGATGTACCTTAAAATAGATGATGTTTCAGATTCCAAACCACTGAGTTTTCTACCATTTGTCCACATTCAAATCACATGAGCACAACCAGAGACACAAGGTCTCATGAAAACGAGTCATCACTGTCCAGACTTGTATCTCAGCTCCTTACACTAGACTAAGGCCCCTCAGCCGAGCTAGCTGAGCCTCAGTTTTCATGTCTATAAAATGAGATGGTACCATTTCCAGAACCCGGTTGTTAGGTTACAGGAGGCTGAAATGAACACACTGTACTGGCTGCATGGAGCACTTCCCATGTACGATCTTGTTCAATTCCCTCACTACTACAGTCCAGAAGACACTGCCACTTCCGTTCCATAAATGCCGAGGATTAACTCTGCACAGGCCTCCTGAGGAGTGGTCACGCTGGAGCTGTGACCCGGGTATTCTCGGCCACAGCCTGCTCTGGGCATGACATGGACATGGGGAGGGAAGCCTGTGGGTACAGTTCCTTCCAGAGTTTCAGTGGGAACAGCTATTTCAAGACTTAGCCACACCTCGTCTCCTCGGTGCAGGGAGCAGGGAGGGCTCTACTAGTCTTCCTCACTTTTGACATGTAACATCATTCTAGAAGAAACAGATTTAAAAACATTCCTGATTCCTTTCTATGGAATTTTCTTAAAATAATTACATTTAAATCTTCCCCTCAAATATTTAAGCCTAGAATGTTCGAAGAAACCATAATAAAACATTGTAAGTCTCAGAAAACTTTAACAATTTAGCCAGAAAATACATGCTCATGGTGTTTTAGAGAGTGGAGCTTAGTTTTCAATACACCTCACTGAACGGAACTGAAGCTTCTCGACAGATCTGCTCCCGCACCCAGCAGCGCCGGCAGCTCTGAGCTCGCCTGAGCAGAGACGGCCTGGCTCGGCATATTGGAAGAGGTGATGTTTAAACAGACAGTCATGGTGTGCAAGGTGTGCCTTCCAAACGGAATCTGAAGACTGGTTAAGACTCTAAAGAGAACCTCCAGTTCACAATTTTTACAAAAGCAAATCCAATTAAAACACAGATGATTTAAAACCACCTTAGATACTGCTGCCTAAGGTCAACAGGGCAGACTAATTTATTACATTGGGACTTGATAAAATGTATCTTCAAAGTTGACTTAAATTCTGTAACTACTAGTTCTTGGGTAACAAAAGCAGGCTCTCTTCAATGACAACTACTACTAATCAATAATAAACCCATGTGGATTAAAGCATCATCTCTTTCAATATGTCTTAACGAACTCTGCGAAGGGAAAACCGTTGGTTTACCTTTAAGGCTTTCTGAACCGCGGTCTTCTTCAAGACATCGGGGTTAAATTCTAATGGGTTACTCTTTCAAGTCAGAAGAAAACGAATACACCAAGGGTTAATAAAACATGCAATGAGGAGTTGATGTAAGGTTAATGACATGAACATTTATGCAAAAATCTTTAAATAAAAAACTTTTAAATAAAAACCACCAACACGAATTACACAAAACAGTAAAAAAAATCATTTGTAAAATTTTTCTTTACACTCACAATTTTATCTTAGAAGGAACCTTTAATTTATAAATATCAAAACACAAGTCCTTCTCTGTGGTTACTATTCCTCTTATTTTCAGAATTTGAAAAATCCAATAGTGATAATTGAAGAAGGGATTCTATTTACTATCCTTTGCTTAAATAAACCTCTAAAACACCTATAATTACACTAAAGGTTCCATCTGCAGTCATCGAAGGGGCCAAGATGCCCAAATGACTCTCAAAGCCACATTACATCCTGTAATCGCAGACGTCACTTTTCTTCCTTCAGAAATTCACTCTTCGTGCAAAACCGCAGCAGAACTGGGCCTTGTCTACTTTGTCTCCCATTCTTTCCCAAGAACAAACAGGTTGAAGCTGATGAACTCAAGTTTCTCTGGCTTTAAGGTTCTATTATTATGGGTCATATGTCCTACTTCTATTGAATCTGTAAGTTCACTACTTTCTGGCCCTCAAAAGGGCAAGACCAAGTTTTTTGCAAGCTCCTTCAAAGACCAACATGTAAGATTAAAGATTTTATCATTTTCAAATTGAATTCTATTATATATTTTTTTACAAACAACAGATTTTATCATGAAGAAAGGGGGACTGTGGCAGGCTGGGCCAGAAGAGGGGATGTAGCGTCTGGCCAAGAGGAACAAATGGGATGTGAGAGCAGGCTCAGCCCAGGCTGCTGCACCCACCTGCTCAGCTCTAGAGCACCAGGCCCACTGGGTGCATCTCTGGGGGAAGCCTGGACAGGTGAGGCTGGGAACCGCTGCCTGAGGTGTGAGGACTGATAAACCTTTCGGAAGCCTCTCTGAACAGGTGGGCTGTGTGCTAAATGCATCAGTGACAGAAAAGCAGGGCCAGAGGCAGTGGCGGGGCGGGGGGGGGGAGGGGTGAGAGTGCAGGGGGGCCATGTGAGGTTGTGAAAGCTGCACAGGCCTGGAGGTGACACAGACCAGATCATCCAGGTGCACTAGGGAAGGGCCCAGTGCAAGGCCTCCACCTTCCACCTGGGCCACTCTCCATAAATGAGCAGCAATGCCACTGCACCTTGTAGTGAGAAAGCGCTCACCAGGGTCTCCACACTACCCAGCTGCCTTTTCCTACAAGGGGACATGAGTGTGAACACCGCCCACCTCGCATAAATCCCCTCCACAGCATCAGAAACGTTAATAGTAACAGAGTCATTTCATACTGGGATGGAGTGGACAGGGAGGGTCAAAACTGTGGACTCTGGGTCAATGCTGAGCTCAAACCGCAGCTCTGCAACTCACTAGCGATGACCCTGGGTCTCTCCTCCCAGTGCCTTGTGCTTCCTGTCATCTCCCTATCTGAGAAGTGATCATGAATGCCTGGGACTACGTGAGCTGTACGCGTAACACCCCTAGACAGTGCTCTACAAATACAAGTTATCATGGAAGGCAAAGGTCCAAGCTGGCCCGAGTCAGAGGGCACCGCCAGCATCCCTCCGGAATTCCAGCCCAGGATTTGGTCACAGGGAGGAGAACCGCACTGTAAAGGGGCACTTCCAGCTTAGGGTAAAGTTGCGGTGCACTCGTCCCCGCACTGGGACCTGTCTGAAGCCTTCCCTAGAGACAGGAAAAGGCTCAGGCTGGGGGTGAGAAGGCACAGATCTGATGCCGTGTGAAAACCAGCGGGCTTAAAGGAGCAGCCCCTCTGTTCACATTTAGTTTACAGAACATTCTGTGGATGCCAATATTCGAATCACAAAGCAGAGCATGTGACGTTGATGATCGAGGAGGAAGGGCAGATCTGATAAACAAGCAATGTCACAGAAGAACATTACACAGCAGGGAACAGAGCCCTGACACAGGTTAGAAGTGTTCAGAGTGGAAAGATGTGACTAGGAGGACACTGGCAGAGGAGGACGCTGCCGTAGCAGCTGGCCATGCAACTGTCCATCAGAAACACCACAACAGAAAACCATTTTATTTATATTATTACTTAAGTAGGTTTTTATTGAGTTTTTATAGAGAGAGAGAGGAAGGGAGAGAGACAGAAACATCAATTGGCTGCCTCTTGCACACTCCCTACTGGGGATTAAGCCTGCAACCCAGGCATGTGCCCTGACCGGGAATTGAACTGGAACCTCTTAGTCCATGGGATGACACTTAGTTATCTGAGCCACACCAGCCAGACAAAAATTATTTTATTAAAAAGTGGTGCAGGCCCTGGCCAGTTTGGCTCAGTAGTTAGAGCGTCGGCTGAGCACCACAGGGTCAAGGGTTCGATTCCAAGTCAAGGGCATGTACGTGGGTTGCAGGTTCCATCCCCAGCCCCAATCAGGGCATATGCAGGAAGAAACCAATATGCATATGCAAGAAAACATCACGTTGATGTTTTGCTCTCTACCCGCTCTCCCTCCCTCCCTTCCACTCTCTAAAAATAATGGAAAAAATATCTTCAGGTGAAGATTAAGAAAAAAAGTGGTGCAAAATAGATGCCAACATGCACCACTGGGGGTCATACAGGTGCGAGGGGGGGGGCTGTTGACTGCTGGGGTGACCAAACACCTCGTCCAACCCTTAGGTCCTGACTCTCCTCTTCTATAAACTGGGACAATACACCTACTATTGATGCTTTGCCTGCCCACCTTGTCCATGTGGAAACAGAAATGAGAGCTCTTCACAAATGCAAAGCCCCGCCTCTGTTAGAGTCAAGGACCAATGAACTGGAAGACCCTCACTAGTTACTGAGTTAAATCAGTAATTAGTCAAGAAAGGGCGACCCTCTGAACTAATGACTAAAAGCCATTGGTGGCTTCCTTCCCTCCCAAAGTAAGAGAACTGCTTGGTAAAGGGACCAAGAACAGGGCCAGGAGTCCGGTGCCACAGCCAGATCCTGGGAAACAGGTATGACGAGACCAGAGGCTTCCCCAGCAAGGTCAGAGATGCAGTTATGCCCTCCAGGGAAATCTTTAAGTTCCTCAAACGAACCTGATTCACAAACTGTCATTTTTGCTCCCTTGGGGACTCTGGTTAAACAGTGAGGGAGAAGCCACGAGCACAGGGTAAGGACTGATCTCTGTCTTCACTGGCCCTCCCCTGGGCACAGCGGGACTTCTCAGGAAAGCCTAGTTCTAACACTTCTGTTTGGTCAGGAGGAGAAAGCAGATTTGAGGGAGGTTTCTGAAAGCCTGCAAAGAAATATTTACATCCCACACTGAGATGAACCAGGAGGAAATCAAGTGCATCACTGTGGCATCGCTTTTTCCACGGAAGGATCTTGTGTGTGGGCTTCCTCATGACTCACCAGTTTGTCATCTCCTCATCAGATGTGGTCCCCATGTTAGTTACAACAGTGGTGCATTTCACAAAACAGCACAAAACAAGCACACAGGGTAACTGAAACCATGCAGAGAAGTGAAGGGCATGCCACGTCATTCCACCACGGAGCAGACGCATCAGAAGCTCCAGTCCACATTCTCGCAGACTCCATTACACACAAGGCAGAAAACACTGGAGAACTCACAAATAGTGCTCTATAGACTGAGGCAGTGTTTTCACAAAACACTAGTCCCGACGCTCGCCTCTCTTTTAAGTAGCCACACCCAAAGTTTCCCTCGTAGATACTCTTAAGAAAGTGGAAATGGGAGGAGAAAGCAAAGAATGGTGGATTGTGGTCAATGCACACAGGAAGCACAGTGAACAGTGCGAAGGGCAGTCAAAGAACCCACAGCACTCGAGGGCTGGCAGCAAATGCTCCGTGTGCAGTAACACCCAGCAGGCAGCGGTGCTGCGGAGGGCCTCTGCCTCGGGTGGGCAGAGCACACGTCATGCGCAAAGTGCCCTTTAACAAAAGGTTGATAAATTCACTTTTTTTTGTTTATGTGACGTCATTCAAATGTCAATTTAATGTGATACAACACAGGGTTCGAAGAGCTGCCTAGTCCCTTCTGGCCAACTCACCAATACTATTCTGTACATCCTCAAACACACCAGGTCCGTGTCCATCAAGCATGATAAGAGACTTGATGACAAATGTTATTACGGTCAAAGACAGTAAGTTCTACTATACAAATAAGTTCTACTGTAGAAAGGTTAAATAACAATGGGACAACTTCCCCCAAATTGAAACGATAACAGATAAAGCCACAGACTTCTCACTAGAAGATGGGCCAAAAGGTGAAGGTAACACTCTAAGGGAAAGAAGGTGAGTCAGTGAAGAAACTGTGACCAAGGAGTACAGGCAGCCGAACCTTGAGCAGCATGTGTTCCGTGGCCCCGCAAAGCTCACCTGTGTTGTTCAGGGGCAGCTGTATTTCTGATCAGGGCTGGGAATCCCGTAAACAGAGGATTAGGCTATATGTGGATGTCTGACCGGGGCTGGCAGCCCTAACCCACACGTTGTTTAAGGGCCAACTACACATACAATTACATACAAAGAGTTCAATTATACATTCCCAGTAGGAAAATAAATAGATGATCGATCAGATTTTAATTGTTAAAAAGTTTAAATACATGCCCTGGCCAGTTTTGCTCAGTGGTTAGAGCGTCGGCCCTTGGACTGGGAGTCCAGGGTTCGGTTCCCGCTAAGGGCACGTATCTTGGTTGCAGTTTGTCCCCGGCCCCAGTTGGGTTGTGCAGGTGGCAACCAATCAATGTGTTTCTCTCACGTTGATGTTTCTCTCTCTCTCTCTCTCTCTTCTTCCCTCTCTCCTTCCCGCTATATCTGAAGATAAATGCAAAAAAAATATCCTCTGGTGAAGACAAAAAAATAAAAAAATGAATAAATAAATACAGTGTGCCGATATACAAAGTGTATGCACACTACGCTGTTGAGCAAAGCCCAAGTGATGCACACCTTGAAAGGGGCGGAGATAAGGTGTGTATTTCATGAAATAAAGGAGACACCACCCAGCCACAGTGAGGTGAGACCAGAATGGAGGCCCTGGGAACGCTGAGGTGGCCACGAAGGGCTGAGCTAGGCTCTACTTCCCTGTGCATCTATCTCCACGGGGAGAAGGGACTCTGGGGACAAGCACACGACTGGATAACCGAACATTTATATCACCTCAGGAGCAAACATCGCACCTAGGAGCGGTCATCTTTCCATTGTGTCTTTGACACAATGAAATAAAACAAGAATGACCACCTGCTGAACAGTGGGTGCTCAAAAATTATCAAAATAACAGAACATTTATAAAGAATGGGGTTAAAATATGGTGGTGGGGAATCAGAGGCCTCCCACAATGGAAAATGTCTGATGTTTCTTCTCCAAGTTACCATCGGTACCTATAAAAACTGCCCTTTGTGGGTTTTTTTCTAGGAACAAAACAATTCTGATGCAAATGAGGGGCACCGCTCTGGGCTGCAGGGGCCATAGGTGTCTGCTGGCCACGCAGTAGGTCCGCACACCCAAGGCTCCGCTCAGCACCCCAGCCCCACCTGCCCTCCGGCTGGGCTGCAGCCAGGGTGAGCTCTGGGTTTGTCATCAGAGCTGCTTCCTTTATTCTCATGCCAAGTAGAGAACAAAATGTTAATATTCAGTGACTTTCCACAGAATATCTTTTTCCCGAACAGCTGGGGGACTGTAAGAATCCCCTCTGCACTGGAGATGTCCTCATGAAACACTGCGGAGTGAAGAGACCCTGAACATCCTGGAGGACAACCGATCTGACACAGGGACGCCAGCCCACTCCCCTGGGGCTCTCGGCTAAAACAAAGAGAATGCCCAGCAGCTCCCGCAGCACCACCTACCGGGAGGTTCCTCGCTGAATCCAAATACAAGATCAGCAAGGAGGAGGACAGGCCATCGTTGGCTTGGTCTTTGTCAGCTCTGATGTCTGTTAGCACCTACGAGGAAGGAAAAAGCCTCAGCAAGCGTGTTTCCACACGGTGTTAGCCTCTTGCTACCCAATCATGCCTGTGATACTCAAGAAAATAGGAAAGTGGAAAAATAAGCCCCCCAGTTCACACAAGCAGAGAGGAAACAGACAACCCGCCCAGTACGCACAAGCAGAGAGGAAACAGACAACCCGCCCAGTACGCACAAGCAGAGAGGAAACAGACAACCCGCCCAGTACGCACAAGCAGAGAGGAAACAGACAACCCGCCCAGTACGCACAAGCAGAGTGGAAAGAGGAAAGGCTCTCTGGAACTCAAAGGAAGGACGAGTGACCAGTGGCCCTCCAAAACCCCTGGCCGGTATCAAGTACGAGATCTGAACACCTCATAGAAGAGGTGTGAATGAACTGCAAATCTCTTTTTAAAAATCCCGTTATCTTTCATTTATCTGAGGCACCGCAGTGCCTTGTAGCTCAACGACAGCAACACCACTGGAAGGAACTGATCTCAGCTGTCAGGAAAGTACGTCACGCACCTGGTCCAGGTGGGCCGCGTGTGGCATCAGTGTGAGCCACTCCAGTTTCAGGTGCAGCTTCCCTCTGGGGACCTCGTCCAGGGTGAACCACTGAAGACAAAATGTGCAGGTTCAGCAGTTCTCCTGAATCAACATTCACACTAAACAGTCTGCATAATATCAAGGTTGCTCACTACCTGTGACGCCGACACTGCGCATGGACTCCAAGGATGTGACCCCAACCAGCCCTGAGTGCTCTCAGTGAGCACATGGTCCATGCCAATGAGTGCAAACATCCCTGCCTGCTGTTGGGGCCATCGTAACGCTCCCCAAACGCTAACTCGTCTCACCCCTAAATTACACATATGGATTCAAATGTCTCCCTGCTCCTCAGCTTCTATGTATGGCCAAGAGATAATATAATATGGAGCCCAAATGATAATTTCAGTATCAAACATGTTAACGTGTTTGGTTTTATTCATCACTACATACTAATAACAGAAGAGTACAGTTATTTCACCTTAAAAATCACAAAGCAATTGGTCAGACAGTCCCAAACCCTGTGTGAGGACGACTGACCGTGACCAGGACCTGCGACAACAGGCTCGTGCTCACTGGGTGGGCGCTGACGGTCACGGGGGCACGGCTACTCTGACAACAGCTGACCACATGCTGGCTTGGTTCACTGTGCTCTACTTGTCACATCTTATACATCTTTTGCCAGCCCACAGACTTGCCCTTTTCTGTACTTTCACTCTGAGAGCAATACCCTGCTGGAAGTGGTGTCTGCTTGCCGCTAGCCCCTGCCGTTCACAGGTAACAGTCCATGTGACAATGCCGCCTGCTGTGCACCCAGCATCCTGACAGGGCTCACTCATCAGACAGCCCCTCACAGGCCGCCCCGCCTCCCGCCCCGCCCAAAACAGTGGGCCTGTGTCTTCACAAAAACGTCGAGCATGTGGTAGGTGCCCAACACACATGCTACGATTTGGCTCTTATATTCTTCACTTTGTTATTCCTGAAAGGCCAGAGCACTCCGTATCTGGGAGACAGATGTTAAGGTTTAAGGACACTGGTGTTGGGGGGCAGTAAAAAGTCAGCGCTCAGCACACAGAACACGACTGTCAGAAAACTCACTTCGTCTAGGAGGCGCTCCTTTTCCACTTCGGTCAGGTCGATCATGAGACTAGAGAAACAACACAACAACTTCAGGGCGCAGAAACACACTTCTCACAGCTGCAAGTCGGGCGTTTGCTGTGAAAAGGCTCCAGAAAAGCCGCAGAATGGTCCAGTTCAACAAGAAACAGACTTCCTCCAAGAGCATGCTACAGCACACAGCAGGTCTGCAGAGGTCCGGGAGGGATCAGGCAGCGTCCCCAGGAGCCCAACACACTCAGCGGGCGGAGCTGAGGTTAGAGCTGCACAGGAGCTGGCCTTCCCTGCAGCGCAGCCATGTACCTCGTGCTCCAGACACTCAAGAACACCAACCCTTTCAACGTGCTCCCTGTGGCTCACTTACTGGGACCTGAACCAGCCCTCGGCCCCTTCCCCACCTCACTCCTCTCTCCAGACCACCGTGCATCTGGAGCTGCACAGAGGTCTTGCTCAGCTCGTCTAGACAGCCTGTTCCATGTTCGAGGAATAACCCAGCTCCACCGCAAAGACTGGAGCCCCCGCCCCACCCGGAGCAACTGTGACTCGGATGGGTGGTCCTGCGCGGTTTCCTGCTCTCTGCCCTGACATAGTCTCAGCTAAGGCCTCGAGTCTCTCTCCTGGCCTGTTGTAAGTCTCCGAGCAGGCTGACACTCTGCACTCTCAATCATGACAATCCGATCTACGCAGTGGTTTTACTAAAATGCAAACCGAATCTGCTCATGCTCTGCTTAAAACCCTTCGGCAGCTCCTTGTTAAACCGTTTCATGAGCGAATTCTGAAGTCTCAGCATGACACACGAGGCCATTCTTGGTAAGGCCGAACCTCTTTCATGTCCTCTATTTTTCTGTGTCTTCTTTCAGCTGTACTGATTACTTCAGTTGAACAAATAAACCAGTATTAATGTTTTCAGTGTAAATTACTACACCCCCCCCAACAAAACTCAACAAATCGATACTATTTAAAAACCCCTTTCTACAAGCCAGAGCGAGGCTGCCTGCATGTGCCGAGGCTGGGAGCTGCCCTGGCCTGCGGAGCCACAAGCCACGCTGGCTGCCGAGCACCCGGAACGGGGCTGGGAGCTCGCCTTCCCCCCCTCACCGTGCAACGTGTTCGGAATGAAATGTGTTAGGAAGCCTAAAGGGAGACAATTGTTATATGACAGCCACTTAAAAACACATATAACATGTACATACATCTATTTTAAAGTTCTAGTTTTGAGAGATTATTAAAAACAAAGAGTAATCCCAGGCTCTGCTCTGTTCGGTCACGAAGGATTTACCTTCCTAGAAAGTCGTCCTTGTCTGGATCTTCATCAAAGAGCTCAATCTCTAATTCCTGTCCAGGATGTTCATACACCAAGGCCTAAAAAATTAATGACCAGTGTTAGTGTACATTTCTACTGATAGCGTCATCTACTGGGCATGAAGATCAGCCAGTGTCACCATGTGTCGTCCTCCAGCGGCGAGTCCTCCGCGGCACTCACCTTCCCCGGTGTTGATCGCACACCTCACCTGGAAACATCTGCTGTGTGTGTTTCATGGGGTTAGGTCTCAGGAGCCGAGCTCAGTGCTCCAGAATAGGACAGGCCCACAGCCTGGTGCAGGCTCTGCTCAGATGCTGTCCTTGAGTAACCACTGCCACAAACACCCCGCAGAGACTAGGGAACGTGGCCACAGACGAGATGGGGCTGAGTAGCTGTTGGGGCGTAACCTGCACTCATTCTGGGGGACGCTCTGCCTTCAAGGTAACTTTTGGGGCAGCAACTCCACACTGCGGAGCTTTATCTGGGGACAGGCTGTCCACGTAAAGAAAACCCATTCACCTCACACCTGCACAGTGCCGGTTAGTCATCATGCTGAACCGACAGCGAGCTTTTGGGTGAAGAAAGGATGGTATCTGTTCAGCGAATGCCTACTATAAATCAGCTCCGCCTGATTCACTGACAGGCATGATGCCCAGGTGTGTCAAACGGTAATTCATAAGACAGTACATCATCTCATACTTGCACGTTTATGTGTGTTAATCACAACATAAAACATTTACATTATGAAAAACTTTTGCCGATCACTGATAGCTTCATGTAATTAAGTCTGAAACGGTGTGTTGGCAGGACAAGAATGGTGTGAGGCAGGCAGACAGAGCGCAACACTCCTGAAAGCAGGAGAGTTAAAGCAGAGAGAATTCAAACTGCCACCTCATGAACCACAGGCTGGGAGACAGGAGTGCAGGGTGATGGGATGAAGCAGGTGGCAGCTGAGAGGCGCCTACCTCGTACACCTCGTTCCACCTGGGACTCAGGTTCTCTTTGATGACCTTGCTTTGGAAGATCTGGTTGCCAACTCGAATTACTCCATAGGGGTCTGACTTCCCCTTGACAAGTCCCTTAAGGTAAGTGTCCTTCCCTTGGAGGTCCTGGGCTTCAATAAAGTGTATCCTGAGAACACCCTGAAAAAGACAAGAGCGTCGACTGCTCACTGATTCGTCTGACGGACAGGAACACTGCAGGATGCTGTCCATCCGTCCTAGGAGTGAGGTGTGGAGGGAATAGATGTGTGAAACATCAGGAAAACCAGAGCAGGGCAGGAGGCAGGGTCCGCGAGGGTCTGTTCAGACAGGAGGCCAGAGACGGGAGGGGTGGGTGAGTGGCGGGCAGAGGTCCCAGAGCGACACTGCTCTGGCAGCAGGAGCAGTCGGATCGGACAGGCCTCCCGGGTCACAGACCCGTCCTGCTTGGGTCTACAGTAAGGGACAGAAACACTGCTGGGAGCGCTGCCCTGCCCGGGGTCTGCACCAATTACTTTGCTCAATTTTTAGAAAAATCCCATGAAATACTGTCATTAAACCTATTTTATAGGTAGGAAACTGAAACTGAGAAATACATACTACTCACAGACTCTAAACATAGCTCTCTCTGCCTAAAATGTCTAATTGATAAAAAAAAAATATATATATATATATATTTTCACTCATTTCTTTCAAGGCAAACAAGGATGGTAAGGTTACTGCTTGGTAGGGTACTCTTCTCCCTGACAAACCCTGTGTTAAAAACTCCAGGGTAATGTTCTTGACCAGTCAGCACAGGAAGGTATGCATTTTTATATTCTACCACGCTGCTCATTAAACTCTCATGCCAAGAGAGTGCCCGTCGCTGAGACAAAGCTGTTGGGATTCGGAAGCACGAACAGTATGGCTTCCTGAGGTTAACTAGGCTCTCACAGCTTCTGGCTGATGTCCAGACGCACACCAGCCGCCTCCCACGGCGTGTGGCGGACACACGACTGCTGCACCACGAGCATGTGTGGGGCTGCTGGAGGCAAACAGGAAGTCATAGAAAGCTACACCACCAGGGCTGTGAGCCCTCCCTCGTCTACGTGTAAGTGTAACAGGCCAGGACATGCTTACCTTTGGTATCGGAAACCGCAACTGGGCTATTTGAACATCGCTGACGAGAGGAACAGTGATTCGATTGGGAAGCACCAGATAGTTTGATATCATATCCGAAATGATAGTATCTGATAAACCACTGTTAGGTGTGAAGAAAAAAAGAGCAAAGCGTGATCAGACACATCCAGGCTCACTATCGCCTTCAACAGCACACTATCCACAACATGCCACAACGACCCATTTACAGGGTGGGAGTGGGTGCTCCCCGACCCGAGCTAAAGCCGCAGGTGATGCTGCCACAGTGCCTGCTACATAGGACCTATGCTGAGAACATTCCACAACGTCCCAGATCACATTTCCTCATTCCTAACTTTATCATTGCTTCAATACTGAGTAACTAATGTATGTTTCATACAATTTCTTTTGCTAACATAAAATATTTCAAACATCCATGAAAGTTCAGGGAATACTATAACACCCATTTCCTCATCCCATGTTTGTTACATTAAGTTTCTCTCTTGTTTCTCTCTAAGTTTCTCCCAGGGAAGTAAAGGAAGTTACGGTTACTCACACTGCACTAAGCACTGTGACACACCACCGCAGAGGCTCAGGGGTGTGAACAAAACTGGCGGGAGTAAGTCAGGTGCCGTGCGTGCATACCCGGGACAGCTGCGTGCATGCAGTGTGCTTGCTGCAGAAGAGTGCCCTGCATGCTCAGTCCCCAAGGAACCCACTTCTCTGGTGTGAAGCAACTACGTATAAGAGTTCCAGGAGAGAGTGAAAGGCACTGTCACTCAGTGGGTAATAGCCCAGCACTCACTGCAGGCGGGGGTCCAGGTGCAAGGATGAGACCTGGGCCTCATCTCAGGACCATATGTAACTTTAACCAACAAATACTGCATTTTTAACCTTCAAATGGTGTCCCCCGATAGTAAAACCAGCAAAAGCAGGCTTGAGGCTGTGATCTCAGAACATCCCGCTTGGCAGAGACTGAAAGGTTGGCTGCAGTCGCCTTCCACCAGGTAGGAAGGATGGACTGTGACACAGCCAGGAAGTTGTCACTCCTCTCCCAGGAGGAATGCGAGACTGACGGACTCACTGCTCACATAGAAAACCTTGAGGTTAAGACACTGGGTTGCTAGAGACCAGCGAAGGGACTCGGCTGGTGCAGGACTCTGGGCTTCTCCCCTTCGGGTCCCAGGTCCAGGACTGACATCCACCCTGCATGGAGGAGTGGCTACAGCTCGGAAAGAACCTTAAAGGGCTAGTTTTGAACCATGTTAGCTTTGTACATTTTCTTCATTTTTCTGGGAAAATGAAAACCAAATTTAAAAATTAATGTGTAGGACAATAAAAGGCTGCCACTATTCTGAAACAGCTATCCCGAACGCTGCTTTGTGATGGACAGAAAGTAAAGGGGGAGTAACTCCGTCTGAAGCCCTGAAACACTCTGCCCAGCAGTCCCAGGAGGACAGAGCCCAGCTGTCGCGAAGGCACGGAGTCTGCCTGGAAGAGACGGGCACATTACACCACCACCAAGCTAACCATAGCTCACGACGTCATACTTACTTCAATCCAGGGACATCAAGGAGATTAGTCAGTCCTGTCCAGTTGATTTCTAAAAGCTGTTTTTAAAATTTAAAAAAAGGGTAAAAATATTATCCAAGTTACTTCCAATTATCAAATCAAATCACACAGATTTCTTTTCAACAGAACACTGTCCTACACCTTGTGTCTCACTGTGAGACCCATAGCCATCGTCCCCGTGGGTGCAGAGAGCTGCCTGCCGCTCTGCTTTCTGATGATGTCACGGTTTCCTCCAGTAAGATCATATAATAATTCATACACCCATCCTCCTATCTCGGGCACTTAGAATATTCATAACTTCTCTTTTGTTAAGTCAAGATTCAGTGACTACCTTTCTACATGCATGATCTGGTGTGTGCGTGCAAACTGGCATTCAGAAATAGACGCTCCGGTTGGATACATGTCCATCATTACGTTTACAGTGCTACGTAGTAATTACTGTACAAAGTACTGTACCGATTTATATTCCACCAAAAGTGTATGAAAATGTCCCTTCTTTATACCTTCACTAAAGAGAGATATTTTAAAAAACCAGTCCATTTGGCAGTTAAAAAAAATGGTACTTCATCACTGCTTCAATTTGCATTTTCCTGATATTAGTGGAACACATTCCATCCATTCATTCAACATTTGGGAGTTTTGCTCATTTTTCTAGTGGGTATTTACCTTACAGTAATTCCCACACAGCTGGCTATGATCCATTAAGTGGACGTGAATGGGTAAAAACTGATTAGAAACCCTGCCTTTCCTATCGAAACTGACACTGCACATAATAAACTGACTAGTGCTGTGCACTGTGGAAGAAACTCTAAGTGACACTGCATGGCCTCGTCACCCTTATAGCTGGGTTAACAGTCCGGCTCAAATCCCTTTGGGAAGCGGTTGCTTATAAATAAGCATGGATTAGAGGAGTCCGGGTTCTCTTGGAAAGATCAAAACTTACAAGCAACCAGTCTTAAAAGTCCCGAAAGACACATTTTCAGCAAAGAGAATGAGGTGTGCACTGGCATGGCTGTAGCAGCCAGGGCCCTGCCTCCCCTCCCCCGCTTTAACACAGCAGGCCCAGAAGCAAGACAGCCCAGGGCAACCCCCCTTCCCAGTCATCTCCACACTCCTTCCCCACTGAGTACAGCAGACTCCAGCTGGGGCAGGCTGCAGACTCAGGAAGCCTGAGGCAACTTTCCAGGACGAAGGAGAGGCTCTGTCAAAGGCCAGGTCACCAGAAAGGCTGTAACTCATCAGGCCACAGAGGGCCTGGCTCACATGACCCTTGTCAAAATGATGAGATACGTGTGTTTCAATGTTACCCAAGTTCAGAGAAACTAAATGCCAAAGAGGCGAGTACAGGGTTCATGGAAGAACAGGACTCAGCTGAGTTTGAGAAGAGAAATTTGAATGCAAAACAGAAGGCCCCATGTCCAAGGCCTCACAGAGGGAGCTGACATGTCTGAGCACAGGGGAAGCTGGGGGACAGGAGGCACCCAGAGTGGATAAAGGAGGGAGTGAGTGAGGATGACTGAGTGTATGAGAACCAGTGTGAGTGAGCGAGACTGCGTGTGTGAGAGCAGTTTGAAAACTGAGTCTGGAAATTCCACACAGGGACACAGGGAGGAGCCCATGAGGAGGGACAAGCAACTAAAATTAGTGTCCCCGTCCCCCCTGCGTCTGGATGACTCAGATCTGTTTCTGGAAACTGAAGAGCCAGGGAGTCGAGTTTCCAAAGGCAGGAAACCGCCTGGGCTGCTGTGGCCCTTCTGCGAGAAGCAGAACAAGCAGCCAGCAGGTCACGTTCACCTGGAACAAGACAACCCTGCGTACATTTCACGCAGCGCAGACACGCCTCTCCTCTCTGCTCTTCCATGACACTGCCTGACGGACGTTGTCGCGTTTACCGTTGGACAACAGCAAATGTCTGTCTCGGTTCTCACTACACCCCAGGAGTCCTAAGTGTGTTAACTCGGCTGCACAGAAGGCCAATCACCTGGGAAGTCCGTTAAAAATACAGGCCAGTGGCTCCATCCTTCTCCAGTGTTTCTGAATTGATCAATTTGTGCTGGTGGTAAAGGTCAAGAATATTTTTCTTATGTTTTAAAGCTCCTGGGACTTCCAGCTTCCACCTGGGATGCAGAAAACTGGAAAGAGCATGGCTCTTGCATGCACAGGAGAGCTCAGGTGACAGGGCCACCAGCCAGCTGACACTGTTCCTTAGAGGCAGCTCTGAGGGGAGCATGAGGTCCCACAGGGCAGGTGACACGACTCCAGTTAGATCCCTGTTGCTAAAGGCAAAGTGTGGGTAAGCCAGTATAAACCCTCTGAAACCCACAGATACAGGGCATGTGCAACCCACTTGGTGGGCTGGCAGAGGGTGCTGGCTGCAAAGCCTGGGGACCGGGGAGAATACTTCCTGTAGGGCTAAGGTGGGGAGGGAGAAGCTGCTATGGAAACACACAAAACTGGCTTTCCACGTAAGGAATGGAAGACACTGGGGAAGGGACACACAGGTAGAGGCCCCCGGCAGCTGGGGGACAGAGAAAGACAAGACGCCTGTATGCCTCGGGGAGGTAGGACCCCATCCCAGGCCTGACCATCAAAGACTCCGTGCTGCTGGATCAGTATGTGAACCCACCGGGCACAAGACCCACCACAGACACAAAGAGGGGCGGAGTCACTAAAGAACACCAGCCCTGAGGGCCAGCATGGGCCAGGACAACGTGGGGCTCCCTTCTCCCCTCCACTGGGATGGGGTAAGATTGTCCAAACTAATGAAAGCGATCAAGCCACAGATCCAAGAAACTGAGAGAACAGCTGGCAGAATGAACATGCCCATGCTCCTGGTGACTCATGGGAGGGTGCGGTGGGGCCCTCCTGGCCAGTGCACTCCGTGGGCCTGTCTCTCCACCTCACTGCTGCCTCCTCAGAGGGCTGCGGGATTGGCTTCTGGGAGCCTTATTCCAACACTACAACCCTCCTACTCCCGCAGGCCAGGGCCCATGTCTGACCCACTGGACAGGGAAGGAAGGCGGGAGCACTGGCAGCCGTCACTCTGACGCGTGAATGGGGACCAGAGGAAGCTGGCCTCAGCGGGAAGACAGCCCCACGGCTGTCAGGACCCCACCAGAATGCACACCTACATGCAGAACACTTAGTCTCTTAGGAATCAAGGATGTGTGCGTGCCAGCACCACATTGTGTTTCACAACCCAACATTTATTTAATCTTCCCGTGTAATCTTGTGAGGTGGGCATCACTATGCCCTGTCACAGACGGGAAAACCGAGGCTTAGAGGAAGGAAATGAGTGTTCAAAGCACAGAGTGGGCAGAGAACAGGAGGGGAGAGCCAGGGAAGCACGCCCGGCTCCATGACCAGCAGCACACAGCTCCGCCCGGTCTGTGGAACAAGCAGCTCACCGCCAGTACTAATCCACGAAGTCCACAAGTAGGGGCTGTGCGCAGCTCCGCAAGGGCCTCGGACACCACGCTCCCAAATCAACTGGACGATCAAAGAATCCCAAGTCTCTCCAGCTGTGCTTTTCACTGGGGTGAGAAGGACTGCTTGGCAGCCAGCAGTGAATTCTGTTCCCATATTTTTCAGTTGAAAGAAACTGAAAAAACTCCCTCCTCTCTGTAGCACACGTGTGGTGCACTCACCATGTAAGGAAATGAGTGAGCCGGACCTTCCAGCCTCACCCTTCCTGAGCACCGAAACCTCGCCTGGAAGGTAGTATCATGGTTATTTTTAAGGTAAATACGCCTAGAGGATCCATACTAAGGAAAGAGTATCACTCAGTTTTGAGGAAGATGTAAAGATGTGGATTCTGAACTAAAAAAACAAAAGGAGGCCTTCCATTAAATTGTTGAAATTTTCTTGTAAATTGTAAATACTCAACAACTTGCTGAAGATTGTTTTTTTACACTTATGAAAGAAGTTTCTTAAATATACTGACTTTTATACAACTTGTATGTGAAAAACCCATGGATTTAAAATTCTTATGGATCTCTTCATTTCTCAAAATTTTTAAAAGTTAAAATTTAACACAAAGGTTCCTTAATAGCGTTGGTGGTATAGTGGTGAGCATAGCTGCCTTCCAAAGGTTCCTTAATAAATTTTGAATTTTACCATGTTCTGTGTATAGCAGTCCCCCTAATCTGAGGGGAGTATGTTCCAAAACCCCCAGTAGATGCCTAAAAGTACAGAGAGCATAGAGCCCTGTCTATACTGTTTTCCTGTGGGTAAACACCCACAAGCCCGCCAGGTGGCTCAGCTGGTTGGAGCATCGTCCATGCACTGAAAGGTCGCGGGTTCGATTCCCAGTCAGGGCACATACCTGGTCTTCGGGCTCAATTCCCAGTCGGGGAGGCAACCAAACAATGTTTCTCTCTCACGCTGATGTCTCTCTCTCTTCCTCCCTTCCTTTCTCTAAGCATGTCCTCAGGCGAGGAGGAGCCCAGACAGGGATGATCTTTTTGTTGTCTTATTTTTGTGCACAGTATTGACTACTTATAACAAAAAATGGGATCAATATGCATATCTAACCATGTGAAATGATGACATTTTACTCTCGTCCATCCAAGTGTCAGAACAGAATCCAGCAGCAAGAACGTGACTACTCTGGAGAGCCCAGTGCACCCTCGCTGCTGTTCACAAGCACGCAGTCAAAGCGGGCAGCGCAGGGGACGGTGGCACCTCTGTCTGGGGGCAGGAGCAGGACGCGGTGAGGACAGCAGCCCTGTTGGACGCGGCTGGGCTGGGTGCCTGCTCCCAGACTTACTGGTTTTGTGACTTGGAAAGATTAGACTCTCAATTCCTGGTCAGTAAAGGAGACCTATGCAGGTATTTCACTACAAAGTATGCACATTCAATGAGCAAACATCTATAAATCATACTCAGCGACGTGCCAAGTGTTCATTACAAACCTACACTGAAAAAAAGTCTATGTGTTCACATTTCACATAGTCAGGAAACAAAGCTGTGTATTGGGAGAGATGAAGCCTCACTACGGTACAAAGAGGTTAACTCACAGGATCCCTGCATCAGAGGCAAGTGAGCTACGGAGAGGGTGTTTCTCCCCTTGAGACAGAGCTTGAGGTGTCCTTGGCAGTGAGCGGGAAGACAGACGAAATAAACATTGACTTACTGGCTTCCTGAGGAAGAAAATGGACAGGGCTCCCACCAAGGGCATGTCTCCAATCAGTGGTTCCAGGATCACCCGCATGGTGCCATGAATCTAAGTGCAAACGGAAACCGAAACGTGTCACAGCGAGCGAGCGTGTCCACCGCCCACTGCCGACGAAGACAGACGCCTGTCCCAGCGACACCGCAGGCAGAACCTACAAAGAAACTCACTTCACAGAATTCCTCGCTTAATCCCAAAGTCACCATTTTCTTGTTGAAGAGAGCACATGGAAGTTAAGAATACCATGAAAACAATAAAATAAAAAAACCTTACCTGTATACTTTGCACACCGGCTCTACAAAAATATCGCTTGATCTCCAAATCAATCTCACAATTTCCTACAAAACTAGCAAAGAAAAGTTCTGTATTACATTCTCTGCATCACCAAAGACTTACAAGGCACATAATCTGGATAATAATAAACAGTAAAGCAACCCACACAGGCTGTAGGCAGAGTCACCCACGGCCGCATCACTGCCCAGGATGCCCTGTCCCTGCTCCGACCCGACAGTGAGGCCTGCCTGTTATAGATGTCACTTCCCACGGTGCGGCCCGGAACTCTGCCTTGATGGATGTAGCGTTCACGCGTTTTGTAAAGAACTATGTTTGCTTAAACAATAAAGTTTACATTACATTTCTCCACAAGCGGAAGTGATGCCCAGACACCCCAGTCCTGAGAAAACTAGCAGAGCTCAAGGGCTCTGGTGTCACGGTCAGAAACAGTGTCTGAGGCATCATTTTACTCAGTGGTCAAGTCACTTTGATCATTAATATGAAACAAACAGGAACAAGTGTGATGTGCAGTGTAAACCTGGCATTTGTGTTTAATACAAACATGAAACGTCAATGACCTTATGGGTGAAATCTGTGTGACTTGAGCCCCATTCCCGACTCCAGACACAGGACATCACGCTCCTGCCTGAGAATGGAACACTGGGTAGAGGGTCTGGGATGAAATCCTTCAATATGTGTTGTCCTGGTGCTAAACCAGTGCCTACAGATTCTTCTCACTGAGCGTGATTCTCCAGTTGGTAAAATCTCCAGCAACCTGTTCCCAAACCATCTTGAAACTTTCCTCTTCTTCACCCTAAGACTTGATCATTTTATTTCCAAATACCTCTCAACATTCCTTCCCCATCGCTGCTGCCAATAATCTAGTTAGGGTCCTTGTCTGGAATACACAGAAAACAGAAGGCAAGTGCTTTAGACATGAGCATCTGAGCACATTGTTTGCATGTTGTCATGACTGCTCAACCAAGCAAGTCAGACGGCAATGTCAAGTTGGCTCCAAGAGGTGGCCCATTCAAATGTTCATTTAATGAGTCCGCAGGAAGTCCTGCTTTGGTGCTGAAAGGAGAGCAGGTTTCCATCCTCAGGAAGCTCACACCAACCTAGTGGACAGTCCCTCCAGGGACAGCCGAACTGAAGAAGCTCCTACTCTGTCCCACTGACCACAACAGCGTTTGCAAATGTGCCAGGTATTTTAACAACACAGACTTTCCACATTAGATTGAAGACCTTCTATTGTCCTTTCTAAAATAAAGGGAATTAGCACCAGTTCTGTACATTTACTAAGTTAATATACTTTAGAAACTCAAAGATGGTGTTATAAAATAAAATGATCCTCAGTGAAGGATCAAAAAAAGGGAACAAAACTGTGCCATGTCCACCAGTCCACACGCTTCAGCAGTGGCCCGAGGCACACAACGGTGCTGCTAGGCTTCCTGAGATGCAGGAAGCCAGGAGCAAGTTCACGAAGAATGAGGACAGGAACCAAAGAAGACCACCTTCATTGTGTCAGGTGTGGTGTTCAGCAGACCCTCAGTTTACTTTTTCCCAATTATTTTTTGTGATAAAATATACATGACACAAAATTTACCAATTTAGCCACTGTTGTGTGTACAGTGTGCTCTTCAAGCACATCCGCACGTTGTATGTACAGCGTGCTCATCAAGCACGTCCGCACGTTGTGTGTACAGCGTGCTCATCAAGCACGTCCACACCATTGTGTGTACAGCGTGCTCATCAAGCACGTCCGCACGTTGTGTGTACAGCGTGCTCATCAAGCACGTCCGCACCATTGTGTGTACAGCGTGCTCATCAAGCACGTCCGCACGTTGTGTGTACAGTGTCCTCATCAAGCACATCCACACATTGTGTGTACAGTGTCCTCATCAAGCACGTCCGCACGTTGTGTGTACAGCGTGCTCATCAAGCACATCCACACGTTGTGTGTACAGAGTGCTCATCAAGCACGTCCGCACCATTGTGTGTACAGCGTGCTCATCAAGCACGCCTGCACGTTGTGTGTACAGTGTCCTCATCAAGCACATCCACACGTTGTGTGTATAGTGTCCTCATCAAGCACGCCCGCACGTTGTGTGTACAGTGTCCTCATCAAGCACGTCCACACGTTGTATGTACAGTGTCCTCATCAAGCACATTCACACTGTTGTGTGACCATCACCACCACCATCTCCAGAGCCTTTGTCTTCCAAACCGAAACCCAGTCCCCATGAAACACTCACTCCCACTCCTCTCGTCCCAGCCCGTGGCACCTGCTGTTTTCTGCTTTGTTTTTCTTATAGTAACCATGGTAATGGGTGTGAGGTGGTGTTTCATCATAGTTTTGATTTGCAGTTCCCAGATTTTTAGTAAGGTTGGGCATCTTTTCAGATGTCTATTATCTATTTGTATATCGCCTCTGGAGAAAGGTCTATTCAAGTCCTTAGACATTTCAGAATCAGGTTGTTTTGTTGCTGAGCTGCAGTTCTCTGTCCTTCTGGAGATCAGCCCCTCACCAGGTCTATGATTACACAGACTGTACTGGTTCTATAGGTTGCTTTCAGTGCTGACATTTAACAGCATTAACTCTTCCAAACCATGAACACGAACATGGGATATCCTTCCACTGCATTTTATTCCTTTTGATTCTATTGTAAAGAAAATTGCTTTCCTCATTTCCTTTTTGGATTGTTCATTGTTAGTGTCTAAAATGTAGCTCAGTTTTGTGTGTGTTGATTTTGTATCCTGCTACTCTGCTTAATTTGTTTATTAGTTTTAAGAGTTTTTGTGGAACCTTTATAGTTTTCTACATAGATCATATCATCCATGAACACAGGCAATTTTACTTCTTCCTTTCCAAGCTGAATGCCTTTTCTTTCTTTTTTCTTGCCTGACTGCCTTCCAGTGCTGTGTTACACAGGAGTGGTGAGGGTGGGCATCCTTGTCTTGTTCCTGCTCTTAGAGGACAATATTTCAGTCTTTCACCATTGAGGAGGATGTCGCTGTCTCATTTATGCCTTTTATTGTGCTGAAGTAACTTTATCTTCCCTAGTTTGTTAAGTGCTTTTATTGTGAAACAGTGGGTTTTGTCAAATGTTTTTCTGCATCAACAGAGATGATCATGTGGTTTTCTTCCTTCAAACTGTTAATACATCACACTGATTGATTTTCATATGTCACACCATCCTTGCATCCCAGGAGTAAGTCCCACTTGGTCATGGTGTGTGATCCTTTTAATATGTTGCTGAATTGAGTATGCTAGTCTTTTGTTAAGGATTTTGTCATCAGTGATCACAAGGAATATGACCTGTAGCTTTTCTGTAGTGCCTCTAATTTCTTTTATGTAACATGTTTTATGAATGGCAATTATCTAGGCTATTAGGTAGGAACTGAGACCCAGAAAGTAAATAAAGTTGGGTCTTCATCAAGAATTCAATCAAATCCCACCAAACATCAGGTAAAAAGTGTGCTCACTGTATCCTCCACCTTATGGGTATAGCTAACAGACATTAGTCATTAACTAGGATACAAAAGAACACAAGTAAAAACTCACCTGATCTGAAGGTCCAAAATAATCTGCCTTTTGTCCACATTTTCAGTGTACACCTTGACACCATTGATCCTGAGGGGCTGGGGAACAGGAAGAAGCTTGTTTTAAATGCAGGGACGGTAACAACACAAAAACAACAATGAAGCAACCAAACCTCGAGATACGGCATAGAGCCGCAGAGCAGACGACACAGTAAAACCACAGGACACGAGGAGCATGAGGCGCATGGTGCTGCCAGCTGGTGGGGTTGTCAGCCACGGGTTCTGCTCCTCTCCAAGCCCCTCAGCCCCGTCTCTTCCGATGTACTTGCCCTCTACTCTATCCTGTCTACACTGTTTCAAACTTCATTTTTTTTTATGTCCTGTAATTTTTCAAGGGCCCAGTTATAATATAATTTCAAATTGAGATCCCTTCTGAGAAAGTTCTCAGCACCACATCTGAGCACTAAACCTTCAAGCTGAAGAAACACCTTACCTTTCGAGTAGAACTGCTTACTCGGATGGGTGTCCTGAGATCTTAGCCCTCAGCGAGCTCTAGCTTTAAGCTCTAAATCTTCACTGAGAGTCCACATTCCCTCCTACCCTAGGTTCCTGGGCCTTCCCCTGAGGACACCAGCTCAGACATATACAGACTGACAAATCACAAAGAACACAGTCGATGCACTGTGTGGACAAGTGAAAATGGGCATAGGACTTACTACCTTTGGTTTAAATGTTTGCCTTGGATAATGCATCCTTCCACCACTTAAATTACAGATTAAAAGCAGGGAGGCCAAACCCACTCCAGATGACTGAGCATTAGCTAAGGAAGGACAGATACCTGCAGGCCCTCAAGGACTTAGCTTGGACATCTAGTGCGGATAAAGCGCCCTGCTCGGGGCTCTGCACGTCCTTTTCTGCCTTCATCGGATGGCGCAGTCACCTCACTTGCAAGAAGCCAGTGCTTCAACAATGCTGTCTTTACTGAACCGCACTGCTCTTAATATCCCGACTCTTCTCCAGTGATGATCTCATTCAGTTAGAGCACAGGCCATGCCACATGAGCACGATTCTTCCTAAACAGATCCGGCTGCAGTCAGAATTCTGCACCTCCACACAGTGTACCTCACGTTAGGGAAGAGCTACAGTCTGCAGGCTAACGTTGGCCTTCGGGGAAGAACGGTTCTTATATTTTTAAAGGGTTGTAAAACAAGGCGGGGGCAGGAAAAGAATATGCCTCAAAGACGTCGTGTGTCTGTCACAAATTGAAACAGTGCCCTGGCTGGTTTTGCTCAGTGGTTAGAGCATCAGCCTACGGTCCAGAGAGACCCAGGTTCGGTTCCTGCTAAGGGCACGTATCTTGGTTGCAGTTTGTCCCCGGCCCTGGTTGGTCGTGCAGACACAACCACTCGATGTGTCCCTTTCACGTCGATGTTTCTCTTTCTTCCTCCCTCCCACTCTATCTGAACAAAAAAATGGAAAAATGTCCTCAGGTGAGGATATAAATAAATAAATAAATAAATACCTGACAGGTTGGAGCAAAGATATGAGAACCACAGTGTGTCATCTGGCTCTGCTGTATGTGAATGTGTGTAAACTGCATGGGTGAGTGTGTTTAACAGGACTACTGAATTCTGAATATTTAAGTTACATAAAACAATGTTGCCTGGAAATGAATATAATGTCATATGTCAATTACACCTCAATTAAAAAAGTTATCTTACAATGTTGCTAATTACTATAAATAGTGACAAAAAAGTGAATGAGGAAGCTTGCCATGATTAACTAATTTTGATGCAGTCTTGAGACTCTCAGTAGAAGTAATATTAGGAATCAGCAGATTTCATTTGTACATAAAGCTACACCTCAGAGACACTGCGGGTTCGATTCCAGGCCACTCAGTAAGGCAATGTCGCAGTGAAGTGAGCCACGTAAAATTTCTGGTGTCCCAGTGCACAGAAACATTATGTTTACACTATGTTGTAGTCCATGAAGTGTGCAATAGCATTTGTCTAAAAAAAACAATGTACATACCTTAATTTAAAAATACTTTATTGTTGCCCTGGCCGGTTTGGCTCAGCAGTTAGAGCATCGGCCTTCGGTCCCGAGAGACCCGGGTTCGGTTCCCGCTAAGGGCATGTACCTCAGTTGCAGTTTGTCCCCGGTCCTGGTTGGGTCGTGCGGGTGGCAGCTATTCAATGTGTCCCTTTCACATCGATGTTTTTCTCTCTCTTCCTCTCTTTCCCTCCCACTCTATCTGAACAACAACAACAGAAAAAAATGGAAAAATGTCCTTGGGTGAGGATAAAAAAAAAAAGTAATTAAAAAAAAATACTTTGTTTAAAAAATGCTGTCATCTAAGCCTGTTTGAAAAATGGCGCTGACTTGCTCAATTCAGAACTGACACTATCCGCAAAGCGCAATGAAACGAAGAGCAATGTAGTGAGGTACGCCTGCGATATTATTCCAACCTGGCCTCACTTATGAGACGAAGGCAAAGCCCGTGGGACCGCCCCTGGAGTCCTCACTCATTGCTTCAAACGACCTGAGGGTTAACACCTTATACATGTTCTCAATGACCACGGCTTTGAGTTCATACATCAAACTCCTTTCCAACAGAACCGCCTGCTGAAAACTGTGCAAAGGCAATTCTGACAGAGAGTGTGGGGTAGAAGGATGCTGGAACTAAGGGGAATCCCCTCCAATGGACCTGAACTGGCCGAAAGACTAGTGGACAGATGAGGGCAGGTGAGGACCCCCACTGACCAGCTGGGGCTCTGCATACGGGCAGAACCTGGAGAAGCTGCACACACCCCGCCACACCTGCCCAGGGAGCAGTGTTCTCTAGAAAATAATATGCCACAGTTTAACGATTTTTTTTTAGATTTCACAGCAATCTTACCATGGACACAAGTAAGGACGTGTAAGAAGAAACTGACCTGCTGACCCATGTCGACTCTTGTGAAACTAAAGGTGCTAAGGTGGGTGTTTGCTCCCCGCACAGCTGGCTCTATGGTTTCTCGAAACAACTTCTCTATAAATTGGCAAATAAAAGGCCACATGTGTTTTACAGTCTGAAAAGGAAAAGGAACTCATGTAAAACAAAACATTTTAATACACAGTGTATTTACTTCATGAGGGAAAATGATGCCCCCTATAGTTTACCAGAATTTCTGAAAATTAAAGAGAGGGCCTTTCTGTTATACAAAAATCAACACGATTTTAACTTTTAAAATGTATCACAACAACAAACTACTGAGTAACCACATGTTGCAGGAATTAGTTATTCTGGTTTAAGGATTCTATTTAAGCAACACATGTAATGATTGCTAAAAAAAAAAATCCTGTGTGGTTTCAAATCATTGCTAAAAACCTTGTAAAACTATAGAGATTTTAATAAACATAAATGAGTTTTCTTTGATGACGGACTAACTTCAACTATCACATTACTTTTTACTCCACAGCTCTAAGAGCATAGAAAACATGGAGATACCAGAGATCCACTGCAAACTACACTGATCTAAAGAGAGAAGCTTTTAAAAAAATTACATAATTATCTACTACTAGGATTCTTGGGAGTTATTTCCCTCTTCCAATGTTTTCAAAATTTTTGCTGTGACTATTATAAAATAGATCTGAGCAGTAGATGATCAGAAAAGAAGACAGAAGGAAAAGGTACAATTATGACTGTCTCATTTTTCTCACGTCAAGGACAGTTTTCCCTGTTTAGAAATGGAAAGTAACGTATCATTTATGACTGAGCTCTTTCGGAAGCAGAAGCCAAGTCCACATGACTTCACACAGTGTCTCTATCCCAACTCCCAAATATGGAAGGATGGCATCTCATCCCCTAATTCCCACGGGGAATGGTATTTGGGATACTGTTCTTTTACCTTATTTAGCCATTCTGCTCTTTCTGTGTCTGGAAAGTGAACCTAGGAGGAAAACACACACATGTGACTGATGGACTCCATCACGCAGGCCACCCATGTGCTCATCGCAGGTCTACTGTTTACACAGAGCTTCTCTAAACACCCTGCCCTGAAGCGTGTGTGGAAAATGCTGAGGAGAACCTAAACCTGGGACACTTTGGCTTCAGTCTAAGAACACTCTGCAGCGCAGGAGTCGAATGTCAACAATGCCTGTGCCTTCTTGACATCCCTGCTGTCCAGAGGAATGTGCACTGGTATCTGGACCATCCTAACAAGGGTTTCAAATGGATCCGTTTCTCAGGGAACCGCTTTCCCATGGGTCCTAGCACTGCCCCGTATTCCAGAGATCTAGATGCAAAGCCTTCAAAATCCCCATTCTCCCCCAGCATCCCTCTTTGGCCCAACCCAGCCACAGACGCTTTTCCATCTCCCACGCTCTCCCGAACAACCACTGCATTCGAGTTCTCCATGGGTCCAGCCTGTGTGCTGGAAAAGATAGGTGTTTGCAGAGGCAGAAATAAACCTGCTTAGAAAAGAGGTGAAACAGTTTTCATTGCTGTTAAAATATAACCCCTTGCAGAGGAAGGCTGAGGCTGTCTGGTGGGGAGCTCCCCTGAGAAATACCATGTCCTCCTCACTCCATGGTTCTGAAAGCACATTTCTGGTTCAGAAGCATGAGGGATCCCAGCAGCTCTGTACTGGTGACCGTTCTGCACACTTTCCTAGTAGCACATGGACCACAGCCAGGGAACAGTATCGTGGGGGAGACCTCCAGGAGGATGGTTCTTTGAGAACCAAGCCCACCTCTCACACTCTCACACTGGGCCTGGAAGCAGCCAGTACCTGGTCAGAGACAGGCCACCACCATCACGTCTATACAGCCATGTGGCCCCATGGGGAGACCACCTGCTCCCCTGTACCCATGCCTGAGCAGGCCTACATCTTTACCCCACAGGACATGCCACCTTTAATTTGCTTGAGCCATGAGGGTGGGCTAGAGTGAACTGAAATATGTTTTTCTAAATTGAGTTAGCTGGAATCTATCTGGGGACAAGACCAAAGGAATGGCAACCTACCAGAATTAAGAAAAAGGCTCAGGAACTTTTAAGGGAAAGATAATGCTCCAGAAGGCAGATCAGGAAGAAACAGCAGGCCAAGGCCCTTCCATCCGGAGGGTCTGCCGCCGTGGAGGCCTGTTTTGACCCGAGTGGAACTGGAGCACTACAAGGACCTCACATTCCCCAACAACAGGTGACATCTGGGCTCGGGACAGGGTGAGTGGGAGGGCTTCAAATGAGGTCACCACATAAGCACTGCAGGCTGTATTCTGCCTTCTTCACATTGTAACAAAGCAGTTCAACTCCAAAAGTCAGAGCTGGGGTTCGTAAGCCGTAGTGCAGGTGTTAAGCTGTGGCCTGTGTAGCAATTTACTGTGAGGTCGTCTCTCCTCCTGCCCTGTACTCTGAATCCAACCAGCCACGGGCAGTGACAGAAAGGACCCAGGGCAGACATGGCGCACCTTCTAATTGGGGCAGGCCGGAACTCCTTCACTGTGGATTGTTCCTCCATTTATAATTTCACAGCAAACAGCAGAGCCAAGGATTCTCTGCAGGCTTCTCCCTGAGCACCTGCACACGCCTGGCCTCCCTGGTGATGCTGTGACTAGCAACACCTGCTTCCCAGCTACACTAAATCCCTCCCTTCAGTACCTCATCAAGACCAAAACGCCTGTGTGTCTCTCACGTGGCTCCACCTCCTCATCCAGATCAGAGGACCTGCACAGACTCTTGCACTCTCCTCTCCTCCCGTGCGCCTTTCCTGCTTCCCCTCTCGCCGCTTCTCCTCAGTCAGCTCCACGCAGTGCTGGGCCTCCCCAACACACTACCATCCACCATCACTGCACCCAGCGCCCTGCGCTCAGGCGCTCTTCCACACCACGCCATCACTGGGGATGCTCCTCAGCTGCTCTGTGCCCAGGTGCCCCCTCGCCCCACGCACTCACAGCTGTAGGAGAATGAGTCACCTTGCAGAGCTGCTGTAAGATCCTGCTCAGAGCTGACGGCATGCTCCACACTCAGCCTAACAATGCTCCTCCTGACTCTTTGCATGTCCTCTGCTTTTCTAAAGCTGGCATTTGTGACCATGTTTCAATCGTTCATGTAGAGTATTACTACAACCACTGTAAGTGTTTAGGTACTGGTGTACGTTGTCCCCAGTCTACAACCTCCGTGCAGCGTCTGAGTTAGTTTGAATGCTGCGTCTCTGCACATTGAGCCGACAGTGAGAACAGTGACATTAGATGAGAGGGACCGAAAGGCGTCCGACATCAGGTCTACAGAACATAAGCTGCTACTCTGGGATAATGAAATATTCCAAGTGTCAAGTGTCCTTTGATAAAATTACAAGATGAGTTTAATCTGCCTCTTAAACCTTCCTTTTACCTGTTTTCAGATCCTTTCTTCTCTGCAAATATTATGAAACAACAGGATGTGTCCATTTCTACTTTATCCCCAGTAAACAAATGAAAAACCATGTGCAAAAATAATTACTATTCTCGGTCTGTGACACAGCACAGAGGAAGCAGACCTCCAGGGCCCCCTGAGAACACAACTGGCTCTCGGGCTGCACCAGCACCTCTGCGAGGGACATCCCTACCCCCCCAGCACCCAAGCATCCAGACCATCTCAGATCCTGCCAGACAGGCTGCATCTCTGTCCAGTGAGCAGGGGGAAGTGGTGGGAAGGTCTATGAATCCCATGTACCTCAGGAAAACTGTTTCTCTGCATAAGAATTTCCTTCTTCTACAGAGGGCAATATGTGTTTGTAGTGGTTTTCTTTTTTAAGATTCTTTGGTTGGTTAGTTTTTATTAAATACCAGTTTATTGATTTTTAGAGAGAAATGGAAGGAGGGAGAGAGAGAGAGAAACATCAATGGGCTGCCTACTGCACAGCCCCTACCAGGGATTTAGCCTACAACCTGGGCATGTGTCCTGACTGGGAATTGAATGGTGACTTTCTGGTGCAAGGGACGATGCCCAACAGAGCCACACCGGGCAGGGATTTTGTCTGTTTGTTTTTATGTTATGTTATGGTCAGGAAGCATTTTATTGCTCCTCTAAGGGAAAACCTCCTGCACAACCTTGCTTGGCTGCCTGGTTTTTGCAGACATAACATTTCTCTCCTCCCATGACTGACGGATCCATCTTAACTTCCAACCTCAATAGCTGACTTTTATTCAGGAAGCTCTTCAGGACCACTTTAAATTCAGAATGAGTGGCTTCTTCCTCCAGAGATGCAATGGTCACTGGGCCCGGTACTGTTCCGGGAGACTCATCATGGTAGAAGAGGCAGAAATGGCTTCAGGGGTATTGGTCAGCGATCTTTTTCAGCCAGCAAACTGATCAGGTTGGACAGGAGGGGTGCAGTCATGTCACTCCCTGCAATAGGACACTTTACATAGGGACTCATACTGGAGCAGCCGGTTTCGGTTCTTTCGAAACTGTGTTCCTCTCACCAATTCCTCTTCTACTTGCTGCAGTTTATGCTGTTTGATGCAGCAGAATCAAGAGCAGTGGCACAGTGCCCTTTGATACCACATGTCTGAACAGGTGGCCTCACGAGCCTGGCAAGTGGCCTGACCACAGATGTGCTGAAGCATCACGCCTGCCAGGGGAGTCTGGACACTGCCAGGGAAGCCCAGATACTGCCAGAGGGCCATCTCCTCCCAGTGGTGTAGGTCACACCCAAGATGGAAGGGAGGCCTTGGTTTTTCTGAAGAACGGAGCTCTTGTTCAGCTCTGAAAGACTGTTACCAGGTATCAGACAGAGAAAGCTTTGACTAATGCAGATTTCCTACCCATTTCGAATCTAAGGGAGGCGCAAAGGCAAGGGTCTTGTCTGAGAATCCACACGCAGGAAACTGGGTGCGCAAACCTGCTTGGAGACCCTCATTAGATTTTTCAACAGGGTCCAGAAACCATAAAGGTTAAGATCGTGGAATATGGTGGTCAATAAGGCTAAGCTCTCTTCAAAGCCTCCCATGTGAAAGGTGCAGGAGAAGTGAGGGAAGCCGGCACTGAAGACCTGGTGCTCACATGGACAGGGACAGATAACAAATCTCCCAGACCAGGTTCTGTAAGACTAGTGAAGGCAACGAGTCTCCAAACCCAACACTACTTTTCTGAAACAACGAAAATAACGACACTACCGAGCACACACTGCACGTACGTGCTGGACTGTTCACATGCACTGAGTTCATTCTCGCAACATCTACTAAGAGGAACTAATAGTGTCCCAAATTTACAGGACACCGACTAAGTGGCATAACGGGGATGAAGACCAGACTCGTCTGCCCATACTCTTGGCCACCTTGTCACTGAGGGACGTGGCAAGTTCTGGGAGACAGACAATGCACAGAGCCCACCAAGTCTTCGGCAGGGCACACACCGACTGAGAAGTGAAGCCTGAGACTCAGACGACAAGCCTTAAAGTGTACAAGGTGCTGCTATCAGCCAGAAGTGGGAAATTTTGTTTAAGTGTTCTACTTATGTAGACTCTAGCAGTGGTTCTCGTTCTTCCTAATGCCATGGCCAACCCTTTAACACAGTTCCTCATGTTGTGGTGACCCCCAACCACACAATTATTTTTGTTGCTATTTCATAACTGTAATTTTGCTGGTTATGTCTTAGGCAACCCCCATGAAAGGGTCGTTCCACCCCCAAAGGGGTTGCGACCCACAGGTTGAGAACCACTGCTCTACAGGTTAAGTATAGCAGAAGTCTGGGAACAACTGATCAAGTCCAGCAAACATGATAGCAATTCACACTAACACACTGTTATCAGACCCAGTATTTCACCTGAGACTACCTGAGACTAAGAGGAGGAGGCCTTAAAGACCGGTTTCACTTAATATTCACTTCTTCACACGAAAGGGCTGTGATAATTAGGTAGTGATATCAAAATTTCTTATGCATTCACCTTGTGACCCAAAAATCTCACTTCTAAGAAGCTATCCTAAAAAAAAAGACTGTCAAAAATATGAAATGACATGTGTGCAGCACCATCTATAATAGCAAAGACCAGAAACAACCCGACAGCCACCTCCAGTGGACCAGCTGAATGGCTACCACGTGCACACGATGAGGTACTATGCAGCAATGAAGGGACTGAGGCTGAGCTCCTCAGTACTGACTTCTGGACTCACTGGGACAATACTATGGAATAATTTCCAGGGTCTGTTTTAAAATGAAAAAAGATGGAGAAAATCATGTACAGTTGGCTACTACCATTCATCTCAAAAGAGAGGAGAGGGGGTGCGTGTGTATATTAATATATGCTTGACATTTTTTAAAAATTAATTTTGTTTTTTCTTTTTTGACTTTAGACAGAGAGAAAGGGAAAAGGAGAGAGTGAGAGAGAAACATCGATGAGAAAGAACATCGACTGGCCGTCTCCTGCATGCCTCCCACTGGGGATCGGGCCCACAACCTGGGCATGTGCCCTGACCGGGAATTGAACCAGCAGCCTCTTGGTGCATGGGTCGATGCTCAACCACTGAGCCACACGGGCCGGGCTTGACATTTTTTTTTTTTTTAAATAAAAAATTAACACTGTTTAAGTTTTAGAGAATGAAATCCAGTCGATCCTCCGCTCACATGGTTTCAAAGTGCCAAAGAAAAAGAGTATGGCAAACTGAAGCGAGTCAATCTGTTACCAACTTTTATTCTGACCACTAAATTTAAAATCTGCTTCTCACTAATACATATTCATAAACACTTGCTTCTGTTCCACAAACCAGAATTTAAAGTAGCAAAAACATCATAGAGAAAGACTGGGATATACAGGAAAACAGAAAATCTGTTTCTAGATCATATAGAAATCATGAACACATGTGATTTGGTTTCAGATCTTAATCTTTCAACTAAAAAAACAAACAACCCCCTCCCCACTAAATCTCCTTTGTAAGTCCAATTATAACATAAGTTTTCATATTTATTTATATTGTCTCCGCACACTGGAAATACTCATTGTATGATTGTTCAGGTTTTGATTATATTTAAGAGCTGACACTACCTAAGAAATCTTTTTAATCTTTAAAAAGAACAAAGGCATACTTGGGATTCTAGTATGTTGATATCACCAAAGTTGATTTGTTTAGAAAACCATTAAAGTAAACACAAAGACAGAACATAACTGTGTGCCAGGAACTCTACACACATCTTTATCCTCACAACAACCCTTTTTACCCTTAATGGCCACCTCATACATAATGAACTCGGTTTGCTCAGGCCCCAGGGGAAGTGAGTGGACTAGACCTCTGGGACTAGTGTGAGGCTCTCCCTGGTAAGCCTTGCTGAAGTACAAAGGATGGGACAAATTTACACAGAGCTAAAATTTCCTTTTAAAAAAAATTAAAAAATAAAATTTTTAGAGAGGGAGAAAGGGAGAGGGAGAAAAAGATAGAAACATTGATGAGAGAGAACATCGACTGGCCGCCTCCTGCATGCTCCCCACTGGGGGTCTGGCCCACAACCTGGGCATGTGCCCTGACCAGGAATCGAACCGGCGACCTCTTGGTGCATGGGTTGATGCTCAACCACTGAGCCACAACGGCCAGGCCCCAGAGCTAAAATTTTCTAATTAAATCATGTTTCCCATTTCTGAATATTAAAAAATAACATGGGCCCAGCCAGTGTGGCTCAGTGGTTGAACGTCGACCCATGCACCAAGAGGTTGCCGGTACGATTCCCGGTCAGGACACATGCGCAGGTTGTGGGCCAAATCCCCAGTGGGGGGCATGCAGGAGGCGGCCAATCGATGTTCTTTCTCATCGATGTTTCTCTCTCTCTCTCCCCCCTCTCTCTAAATCAATCAATAAAAAAGTTTACAAATAAATAAATAACACGGGATGACATTTAAAATTAAAGAAAGGACCTGTCTTTCCTCACACAGGACCCCTGGAAGACCGAGTAGCAGCACTTGTGTGGGACTTGAACCGAGCCCCTGCAACCGCACCAAGACAAGCAGGGCAGTACCAGGGGGTGCGGGAGCCTCTGAAGTCCACGAGGTCTGGCAGCACTGAAACCTGCAATACAATTACTGCTGTCCACACAGTCCCTTTCCAACAACATCCAGAATAAGCTGATCAATGTGCGGGAAAATAACTAGGTTTCTGTTTCAAGTCTACATAAAATAGGCAATCAATTCACACAGTAAATAAGGCAATGAATCTTCAAAATCCACAGTTATCATTTCCTCAACGGTGTGTGTCAGCCTCCTGTGAACTCTGATTACTGTGTAATTGTGACTCAACACAGCACCAAGGACAAGGGAAGACGAAGATGTTCAATATGACAGTGCTGCAAAATCCACCTGTATAAGGTGTGCTCCTAACAGGAGACACACTCACATCTCTTTCCCGGGTGCTTTTTATGTGAGAAAAAATAAGAAAGTTCACGAGGGAATCTGAAGGAGCACTAATATCCCCAAGACCACAGGTAGTGACCACGATCCCTTCCTCACCTGTCTGGATTATCTGAAAAGCAATGATTATTTGTAGTTCTCTAAAAGGATGTAGTCTTCTAAGGGACTTTACTGAGGCCTTCTGTCATTTCATATACTCTGCCCCCTAGGTTGGATGTACCTGCACCCATCCATGTATTTCTCAAGAAAGGAGGAGAGTGAGTTTAAGCCAGGACCAACATTCAATGGCACAGTACGCACAGGGACACATCCTAACTTCACCCAAGAGGACAACCAGACATCCCTTTATCACAGTACTAGTGTCAAGAGATTTACTACCTTACGAAAGATGCGTGTCTACAGGTATTTTTCAAAGACCTGAAGCATATTTTTAAAAATTTTAAAGTCCTGAAGACATTCTTTGGCTGCTAAAAGAAAGAAAAATCATACAATTATTTGACAATCTTGATTTAAAGTTGAGGTTCTGGCAAGAGTTCCATCAATCTCACAAACTAAACTGAGTCCAAGAATAGGAAACCTGTCTTCTGGTCTCCTTCACTAAAACACTTAAGTCAATCTGGTTGTTTTTAATTTTAAATCCAAATCAAATGATACTATTCACAAATTGACATGATTATGTTTTAACTGGAATGGACCAGGGCAGCAATCTTTTAACCTCTGACACACATAAGTTAATTACTACAATTCTGTAGCACACCAAAATATCTATTTTCTGCCAATCTGTCAAAAAAAAAAAAAAGTAGGTATACTTTGATTGGTTTACAAAATAATAGTAATTACCTACCCTTTTTGCTCCAAAAAAATCAGGTGCCTCTGCCCGGCCAGTGTGGCTCAGTGGTTGAGCATCTACCCAGGCACCAAGAGGTCGCCGGTTTGATTCCCAATCAGGACACTTGCCCAGGTTGTGGGCCAGATCCCCAGTGGGGGACGTGCAGGAGGTGTTCTCTCTCATCAATGTTTCTATCTCTTTCTCCCTCTCCCTTCCTCTCTCACTAAAATCAAGAAAGAAAAAAAATATATCAGGTTCCTTAACTTGTATAAGGATTTCTGGTACCAAGAATTAACCAATCTGGTACAACTTTATTACGTGACGTGACCAATAAGATGCAACTCTATTATATGACCTATATATTTATGGTTCAAGACAGGGCATTCACAACGAATGGCCATAATTGTGTTGGCTGTTGTCACTTTTTTATTTGACACAACCTAAGGGAAAAGGGTTAGTATCCCAGACTAAATAGTCAGGTAAGCATGTTTTAAAAATTCTTGCAGCACACGGGTTGGAAGTCGCTGGACTAGATGATAGATGTGTAATTGTAGTGCTGAAGTAATTAGACACTTCGTATATTGTGTGAAATCAATCCAGCTTTGTTCTGCTATAAAGAAAAGAAACTACAGAAGATTGGGAAGTCAGAGTTAAAATCCCCTAGAATTACAGAACCAAGATAAATACCAAACACCTACAAGGGATTCAGAAGTCACATGTGAGATTTTACTGTGAATTTTTTATTTTCAAGAAATCAGTTTATATATTTCTAAGAGTTTAATATTTATTCTCCCACACAGATAATAAATATCTCAAGAATTATAAGAATTAAGTCAGAGAAATTTGCCAATTTAAAATATACTTTTTTCTCCTTTTATTTGTATACGATGAAGAACAGCAGGTAACCAGGCACTTGAAAACATTAGGACTTTTTCCTGAATATAATCATCTATCTTTGCTGGATTTTGAAAACAAGATTTTGGTACATGCCCCTTTATGTTGGTTTGTCATTAACTGTGATCATACAAGACATCATAGCCTGGAGACCACCCTCATCCACCTGCCTGTCATCTAGTCTCTCAAGGTCTGTCATACATCTCTATCTTCTACTGATCACACAAGCAGTCCAAGTCACAAAGACCACACATCCTCTGCCTCGTTTATATGGCACTTCCAGAACAGTGAAGTCTATGAAACAGAAAGTGAATCAGTGGTCGCCCAGGGCTGTTGTGAGAACTGTGGAGCAGATGAAAGAGTGAGTGTAGCAGGGATGGATGCAGTCTTCATTTGAGGATAAAAACGTCCTGAAATTAGATTCTGGTAATAATTACTGTGGCATGAATATACTGAAAACAATGAGCACAACCCTGCAGACCCCTTGGCTTAGCCCATGGCAGCTGCTTTCAGACTTCTGGCCTCCAGAGCTGTAGCAGGTGAATGTGTGTTGTTTCAAGTACCAGGCTTGTGGTATTTTGTGCAGTGGTCCTAGCGCAGGCAGCAAGCCAAGACAGGTTGTAACCTTCCCCTCGCTCCACTCACTGTGAAATTACAATCTACAGATCCTTCCGCTTAAAACCATCCTTCGCACACACAGCAACGTCCACCCCTTTCTTTTCCCCAATACAAAACCAAAATCTGAGGTCAACTGGTTGGAGCGTTGTCCCACACACAAAAAAGGTTGCGGGTTTGATTCCCGATCAGGGCACACATGGGAGGCGCTGATGGATGTTTCCCTCTCATGATGTTTTTTTTCTTTCTCTAAAATCAATAAACATCCTCAGGTGAGGATTAAAAGTAATTAATTTTTTAAAAAAGCTGACTCAACTATTAAGTAACAATCAACACTTTCTATTAGCTACTGGATAGATTTCAAAATCTTTATGTATGTGAAAAGTAACTAGAAATGGGTTTGTCATTTTTGTTTCAGATTATACTTGGGTTTCTGGTTTTATAACCCAGTGCTCAGACTAGGCATTTCAACCTGAACAGCACCAATGTGACTTCAGGAAGCAGTTCACTTCAAATGTGTGTAATAACAGCAACAGGGACAGAGGCGGTGAGGCAGAGAGCAGCAGCACCCGGGCAGCAGGAAGCTGGCAGCGACACCGGGAAACGGTGGGAGCACCAGCCGCGCAAGCACTACCCAAGGCACCACTCCCACAGCTGCTGCCCAGCAGCGGCATGTCCCTTGCCTTTCCCCATTCCAGCCTCATAAGCTCACCTGGGCAGGCTCTTTTCCATGCCTGTCTAATGAGGAGGAAACCAAGGGTCTAACCAGTGTGACTGACTGACACACATACATGGGGCCAGGGAGGGGCTCTCGACAGGAACCTACACCTACCAGGTGCAGGGCCTGCTTCCCCAGTGTGCGCCTGTGCAGCGGAGCCCTCAGCCCCAGTGAGGCTGGTACCACAAGGGTAGCCCCTTCATGTGCCAGTGGCTCCAATACTAGCCACATGGCCGGTGACTCTCTTCTAGGGGCATCTCCAAAGTAGTCTTCAGGACACTGTGCTCCTTCAGTTTACAGCATTTTTCCTGTTGATAAACCTCAGTATCCCAGCTCAGCACAGAGGAAGAAAAGCTATTAAAGCAGCGAATCCCCTGGGAGGAATGCTGTTCCTCTAAAGGTGATTTACGGAACAGGAGGGCTGGATAAATCTACCCTGCATTTCAACAGCAGACCATTCAAAAGCAAACTGCCCTCCAAATGCTGTCCTACATCCTGGACAGACCTGAAAACCAGCTCAAACAAAAAATCTTTCATAACTTGGGAAGAGCAGAATATTAAACATCTCAAACTCTATAGTTTCACCTTTTCTCAGTATGTGACATCTAACAATCTCGTTCTTGGAATTTGTCCATCAGACATCATTTAAATAAAGCATGGTCTCCCATAAGGTGGATAACATTGCAACGGCCAAAGTCACATTTCTGAAGCATAACAATGTTCACAACGTAACACTTAATGAAGGGGGATATAACACATACACGAATATCCATATACCTGAAAGAGTCAGAAAGTCACCAAGATGTTAGTAATGGTTATCACTAATTAGTAGGATTGCAGGTGACTTTTCCCCTCTATTCTTCTCCTAAGTTTGAAACATTCTACAATGAGCATACATTCTTTTCATACCAGAACAAATTATGTTTTTAAACCTGTCTAGCGCCCAGCTGGTGTGGCTCAGTGGTTGAGCATCGACCCTGCACCAAGAGGTCGCTGGTTCGATTCCCGGTCAGGGCAAATGCCCAGGTTGTGGGCCTGATCCCCAGTAGGGGGCATGCAAGAGGCAGCCAATCGATGTTCTCTCTCATTGATGTTTCTATCTCTCTCTCCCTCTCTCTAAAACCAATAAAGAAAAAACAATTTTAAATAAGTAATATCTGTCTAGCTATAACATAAGAAATAAAGAAAAACCCTACTGCACATCCGTTAAAAACAGAAAGATACGGGGACCTTCACTAAGGGACTGAACAGACCAGACCTTAGATTCTATGACAACTTTACAATAACCAGAGAAAGCACAAAAAACTGTCAGTATTTCCACGTCTGCCCTCTGAGTGGCTATCACGCGGACTGTGGTCCCAGCACAAACATGAGCGCTTTTAAAAAGGAAATGACCGTTGCTGGCACACAGGGTGCACTTAGGACATGCTGCTATCAGACATCCTGCTGTGTGATTCACTCAAAACACACCCGACAGGGAACCTGGGTTTGAGCTGCCCGCAGGAGCGGTCATAAAACTGTCTTTCACAAGGCTGGCAAAGACGGCAGAGCATGAAACAACTTTTATGCATACCTAGATCTACAAGCCCTAGAAAAGTTTTAATCCTCATCAATGAAATCTTTTTTTTTTTTTTTAAATCCTCACCCAAGGACATTTTTCCATTTCTTGTTCAGATAGAGTGGGAGGGGAAGAAAGAGAGAGAGAGAAACATCGACGTGAAAGAGAAACATCGAGTGGCTGCCTCCTGCACGCATGACCCAACCAGGGCAGGGGACAAACTGCGACCGAGGTACATGCCCTTAGCAGGAACTGTACCCGGGTCTCTCGGGAACGCAGGCTGACGCTCCAACCGCTGAGCCAAACCGGCCAGGGCGAAATCTTTTTTTAAAATAGATTGATTTAAAGAGTTGGGCTATTACGTTTGTAAGTGTACAAAATGCTCTAAATGTCACAAATTGTTTTTCAAATGAACATACCACTACATCAACAGAAAGGCCTAAGAAAGGTCTACCTTTTCTGTTTCCATATGTAGTTAAGAGTCTAGAAAACTTTTAAATCTTAAGCCACATGGTCCTGAACAAATGATCTTCCTGGATTTTTAAAAAAAGTATTATTTTCATTTTTTTTTTAACTATCAATGTATATACTATTACTAAAATGAGTACTATACATAGGTTTGTGCTATTACTGACTAGTAAATTCTTGAGTTTAACATCTTGTCTTACTCATGTTTGTGTCTCTAGCACCTATCACGATACCTGGAACATAGCAAGTGTCTAAAAAGTATTGGCTGAGTGAAAGATGAATCAATAAAGGCTAATTTCTAATCCCACACATAAACTGGGCTTGTTTCTCAAACATGTGATTTACTCTAGGAAACATTCACCAAATTAAGTGGTTATCTTTTAAAAATTACAGGATTTCTGTATCAGTTAAGAAAAATAAATGAAGAAAAAAAAATCAGTGACAGAGAGAAAACCTGTAAATAAAGCATATTAAGTGGAAAGATATTTCCATCAAAAAGACAACTACTCACATTATT